ATATATATATATATATATATATATATATATATATATATATATATAAAATAAAGAAGAGGAAGAAAGAGAAAGAGGAAGAGGGAGAGAGGATGGGGGTATTGCTTTATTGCCCAGGCTAGAATGCAGTCTAAATATGGGTATGCCTGTAATTGTCCTTAATAATGGAGACACAAAAGAAAATGAGGGAAGAGAATAACAAACAAGGAGCCAACCAACATTTCATTTAAAGTTCTAAGTTGATATGATGTGGTACTGATAAGAGTGTATATTTTGTATATTAAAAGTGGAGAGTTCTATAAATGTTAATTACGTTTACTTGTTCCAGATCTGAGTTAAAGTCCTGGATATCATTGTTAATTTTCTGTCTCATTGATCTGTCTAATATTAATGTTGAAGTCTCCCACTATTATTGTGTGGGAGTCTAAGTCTCTTTATTAGTCTTGTATGTCTGGGTATTCCTGTATTGGGTGCATATATATTTAGGATCTTTAGCTCTTCTTGTTGTTGCATTGATCCTTTTATCATTATATAATGTCCTTCTTTGCTTCTTTTGATCTTTGTTGCTTTAACGACTATTTTATCAGAGGCAAAAATGGTAACTTCTGCTTTTTATTTATATATTTTAGCTCTCTGTTTGATTGGTAAATTCTTCTCCATCCCTTGTTTTGAGTCTTTGTGTATCCTTGAATATGAGATGGGTCTGGATGCAGCATACTGATGGGTTTTAGTTTTTTATTCAAATTGCCTGTCTGTCTTAGGATTGGGGGATTTAGTCAATTTAAATTTAGAATTAATAATGATATATGTGAGTTTAATACTGCCATTTAATATTAGCTGGCTATTTTGCCCATTAGTTGATGTAAATTCTTCATTATATTGATGCTCTTTTTGGTATTTTTTAGAAAGGCTGATACTGTTTGTTCCTTTCTATGTGTAGTGGTTCTTTCAGAAGCTCTTGTAAAGCAGGCCTGGTGGTGATGAAATCTCTGAGTGCTTGCTTGTTCACAAAAAAACTTTATTTTTCCTTCACTTATGAAGCTTAGTTTGGCTGGATGTGAAATTCTACGTTGAAAGTTCTTTTCTTTAAGGATGTTGAATATTGGTCCCCACTCTCTTCTGGCTTGTAGGGTTTCTGCTGAGAGATCTGCTGTAAGTGTAATAGGCTTCCCTTTGTGGGTAACTTGACCTTTCTCTCTGGCTGCCCTTAGTATTTTCTCCTTCATTTCAACCCTGGTGAATCTGACGATTATGTGCCTTGGAGTTGCTCTTCTTAAGGAATATCTTTGTGGTGTTCTCTGTATTACCTGGACTTGTATATTATCCTGCCTTACTAGGTTGGGAAAATTTTCCCGAATAATGTCCTGAAGCGTATTTTCCAGCTTGGATTCATTCTCTTCGTCACATTCAGGTACACCTATCAAGCGTAGATTAGGTCTTTTCACATAGTCCCATATTTCTTGGAGACTTTGCTCTTTCCTTTTTATCCTTTTTTCTCTAATCTTGTCTTCTTGTTTTATTTAATTGAGTTGGTCTTCGACCTCTGATATCCTTTCTTCTGCTTGATCAATTCGGCTGTTAAAACTCGTGCATACTTCACGTAGTTCTCGTATTGTGTTTTTCAGCTCCATCAATTCACTTATATTCCTCTCTAAATTGTGTATTCTTGTTAACATTTAATCAAACCTTTTTTCAAAGTGCTTAGTTTCTTTAGATTGGGTTTGAACAAGTTCTTTTAATTCACAGAAGTTTCTTATTATCCACGTTTTGAAGCTTGCTTCTGTAATTGGAACACACTCGTTCTCCATCAGGCCTTTCGTTGCTGATGAGGAACTGTGATCCCCTGCTGAGGGAGAGGCGTTCTGATCTTGGGTATTCTCAGCCTTTTTTGGCTGTTTTCTTCCCTTCGTTGTAAATTTACCCATCTGTGGTCTTTATAGTTACCGTCTTTGTAATTGGGTTTCCGAGTGGACGTCCAACTTATTGATTCTCATTGCCGAAATCTGAGCAACCCACTGCGCCGACCAAATCAGTGGCGTTAAGATTGATGGTGCTTTTCTGACTCTGCACCAAGAACCGATGCTCCGAGGCACCGGCAAAACCGCCTCGCCGGTCACAAGAGTCGCGCTGGCGACCCGTGGGGCTCCTCCGCTGGGAATCTCCTGGTGCGTGAGCAACAAGAATTCATGTGAAGGTGTGGCGTCCTCTCTTCTTTGTGCTTTCACTGGGAGCTACAATCCGGAGCTGCTAGTGATCAGCCATCTTGGATCTCTCCCCTTTTTTTTTTTTTTTAAACTGAGTTTCACTCTTGTTACCCAGGCTGGAGTGCAATGGTGCAATTTCAGAGGTAGAGCTCACAGCAACCTCTACCTCCTGGGTTCAAGTTATCCTCCCACCTCAGCCTCCCAAGTAGCTGAGATTACAGGCCTGTGCCTGTACACACAGCTACTTTTTGTACTTTTAGTAGAGGTGGGGTTTGACCATGTTGACCAGGCTGATCTTGAGCCCCTGACCTCAGGTCATCTGCCCACCTTGGCCTCCTAAACTGCTGAAATTACAGGTGTGAGCCACCCCACCTGGCTTGTATAGCCTTCTGAGTGTAATTTAATGATGTCTTACATCAGTCTTGGAAAATTTTTAGTTATTACTTCTTCAAATGTTGTTTATGCTCTCTTATCTCTCTCCTCTCATTGAGGGACTTAAACATGCTAGGCTTTATTCTTCTATGTCTTTATATTTTTTATCTTTTTGTTTATTGGTGCTGTGTTCTGAGCATGTTCTTTCGTCCTAGCTTCAGTTCATTGATTTTCTTTAACAGACTCTAAACTGCTATTAATCCCACCCAAATTCTTAATTTTGGTAATCACAGTTTACTTTTATAATTCTATACTTTTATTTTCCAAATCTGTCCTGTTATTTAATTAATTAAGTAATTTATCTATTTACTGAAACAGGGTCTCATTCAGTTGCCCAGGTTGGAGCACAGTGGCACAATCACAGCTCACTGCAGCCTTAGCCTTCACAGCCTCAATCAATTCTCCCACCTCAGTCTCCTGAGTAGCTGGGAATGCAGGTGTGCACAACCACAGCTGCACAGCTGGCTAATTGTTTTTTGTTTGTTTGTTGTTTTGTAGAGACAGGGTTTCGCCATGTTGCCCAGGCTGGTCTTGAACTCCTGAGCTCAAGCGATCCATTCACCTCAGCTTCCCAAAGTGTTGGGATTACATACATGAGCCACCACACCCAGCCTGTTCTCTGTATAGTTTCTAGTTCTTACAAGTTTCAATTATATCCTTGAACAGGTCTGTAGTTCTAATGGGTCAGTTTCTGTCATCAGTAATTGTGTGTTATCTTATCTCCAAGTATCTGGTTATCTTTGATTGTGTTTCAGGAATTATATTTGAAAATGTGTCTGTAGAAATAATTTCAAAACCTTAGATGACCTATGTTGTTCTGGAGAGAATTTTTGTCGTTGTTTCTGCAGGCATCTGGGGACATTAGCAATCTAGGACCACTCTAATTCAATCTCAGGATCTGTGATTTTCCCTCGTCACCGACAGTACCGGAACTTGTAGTACCAGTTCCTGTCTCTGGGACAAGCAGATTTATTTTCAATTAACCCTGATTACTAGAGCCTAGTTTCTTGAGGCCTCAGGACACATCAGGAGGTATTACCAGGCCTTCCTTCCACTTTGGACAGGCCTTGGATTTCCATTTTTGTCCCTTAACTTCATGAGGCAATCAAAAGTCTGCCCGGCCTCTCAGTTGCCCCATCGGATTCAGCTGCCCATTTCCAAACAATAAGCAACCCGGTTTCCCAGCCCAATACCCAGCTCTCAGCTTGATTTTCATCTTCTCCTAGATCATGTTCCAGGAATAGTTCACTAGTTTGTTAGCTGTTTGATGTCTTAAATATGTATATTCTTAAATATATATATATATATATATAATTTTTTTTCAATTCTCTAGCATTTTTAGCCTTTCTTGAGGATGGATGGTTGAAGCAATATTTGATTTGAATTGTTGAGATTACTATTACTAGAAGTAGAGCCTGAAAAATTTTTATTTTTAATTTTAATGAATTCATTCATTTAAAAATGTATTCAACTAAATTCACTCATTTTTAATTTCAAATGTTTTGGGATTTGGACTGAAGTAATTTAATTCTGGTTTATAGCAATACAGTATACGATGTATTACTGCTATGTTTTTTAATGTATTTGGGGACTTTTGTGGACTAATAGTTGATAACTTTTACACAGATATCATGTAATGATATCAAACTTAGATTTGAAGAAATGAGTTGGTAAGCTTTATATCTTTTATATGTTGTGAAACCTTGAAATTATATTTGGAAATAATTGTCACTTGAAAGTTTGATAGAACATATTTTTTATTTTTTTATTTTTCATTTTTTTCCATTCTTACATGTTTCTAACTTTCTGTATCTTTTTGAATGAATTTTAGTAGTCTATATTTCCATTTCTATCATTTAGATTTTCAAAATATTTAACCCCCAATAGTCTACAGTTTTATAAATATTGTCATATACATAAAAATTTGTTTAAATTCTTTTTCCTACTATATATATTTACGTTTTCTCTCATCCTTTATACTTTATCAATTAGCAAATGTTTTTGTATTTTATTTTTTTAAAAAAGGTAACTTCAATAACAAAAATGGAAATTAAGAAAGCCGATGAAAAAGAGCAGGAGAAAACTGAATAAACTCTATAATACTATAATCAAAGAGCTATTTAAAATGAAAAGAATGTGGATTGAGTTAATAAATGCATGCAAATATTACAGAAAATCATATAAGTAAGACAGGCAGGACACATGATATGCTCACTGCAGTTACAATTTGTAAAAATTTACCTATGTGTTAGCAAAGATTAAAAGCAAATAATGAATGTAAAAATAGTTACAGTGTAGTGACTCATGAGATTTTTGTCATTCATTATTTAAATGGACTGTTATTTAACCTGCTCTTTCTTTTCCCAGGAATTCCCTGTGGGCTACCCCCCACCATCGCCAATGGTGATTTCATTAGCACCAACAGAGAGGATTTTCACTATGGATCGGTGGTGACCTACCGCTGCAATCCTGGAAGCAGAGGGAGAAATGTGTTTGAGCTCGTGGGTGAGCCCTCCATATACTGCACCACCAAAGACAATCAAGTGGGCATCTGGAGCGGCCCGGCCCCTCAGTGCATTATACCTAACAAATGCACACCTCCAAATGTTGAAAATGGAATAATAGTATCTGACAACAGAAGCTTATTTTCCTTAAATGAAGTTGCTGAGTTCAGGTGTCAGCCTGGCTTTGTCATGAAAGGATCCCCCCGTGTGCAGTGCCAGCCCCTGAACAAGTGGAAACCAGAGTTACCAAGCTGCTCCAGGGGTGAGTCTGACTGAGGCCTAGAAGGGCTCTGCAAATGACATGAGTTGCTGCTGGATCAGGAGATTAGTATTTGTTCAGGGGGAGGGATGTGTCATCAGCAGGGTTGGGGAGCACATTTTCTAGGTAGTGAACATGAAATTCAGAAGATGTGTGTATATGTGCGTGCGTGTGCGTGTGTGTGCGTGTGTGTGTATGTGTGTGTGTGTGCACGCGCACATGTGCTGAAATCGAGAAGCAAAGCTAAACCTGAGCAAGGAATGTGATGTTTCTTTGTGGTTCTTATAAACAGATCTATCAATTACCTTTAAATATAATAATTGCTTATAGGAAATGAGTGAGTTTTCTGGTCAGATACCAGACAATGTGTGAATTTTAATTCTTAAAACAAAGTTATTAGGTGGTTACCAGTTTTTCTATGTTTGTCTGTTTTGTTTGCTTGAGAGAGGTTCTTAATCTGTCACTGAAGTTGGACTGCAGACATCAGATCGTGGCTTACTGCAACTGCCACCTCCCTGGCTCAAGTAATTCTTCAGACTCAGTCTCCCTAGCAGATGGGACTACAGGGGCATGCCACCATGCCTGATTAAATTTTTTATATTTTTTGTAGAGATGGAGTCTCACCATGTTGCCCAGGCTTGTCTGAAACACCTGTGCTCAAGTGACCCACTCACCTCAGCCTCCCAAAGTGCTGGGATTATAGGCATGAGCCACCATGCCCAGCCTTTATGTTTGGCAGAGAAGTTGTACCTTAGAGAGGTCAGATAACTTTCTAAGATACTAACTTCCAGACTGAAGACTGGAATGCAAGTCTGCCTGACTCCAGAGCCTTGGCTTTGCTAATCAGCATCCAGTCAGGAAATCAAAACTTACTCTAGATACTTTCAAGGAGTGAGGGGTTTCATGCAGGTGATATTAGTCTGTTCTCACATTGCTATAAAGAAGTACCTGAGACTAGGTAATTTATAAACAAAAGAGGTTTAATTGACTCACTGTTCTGCAGATTGTACAGAAGGCATGGCTGGGGACTCCTCAGGAAACTTACAATCATGGTAGAAGGCAGAAGGGAAGCAGGCATATCTTCATATGCCTGGCAGGAGAGAGAGAGGGCAAATAGGGAGGTGCTGTACACTTTTAAACAAGCAGATCTCAATAGAACTCTATCACAGGACAGCACTAGGGTGATGATGCTAAACCATTAGAAACCACCTCCATGACCCAGTCACCTCCCACCAGGCTCCTCCTCCAACACTGGGAATTACAATTTGACATGAGATTTGGGAGGGGACACAGAGCCAAACCATATCACAGCTAATAGGTTAGAAAGATGTTAGAAGGGCAGGAAAAGCAATAGGAACAAGGTAGATTTACCAGAGATCAGGGAGCTACTGTGGCTTCCAGTCTAAAGCACAGGAGCCTGTACTGATGCTGAAATGGTCAGCTCCTGCCACTGAGCAGGTGTCTTCCTGAAAGCTGCTAATGCTGCAGGAGCCACCACTGCTGCCAGAATGTAGCTGATATTGCTGGAGCAAAAGTCGTTGGCATTGCTAGAATTGAGGCTGTGGCTGCTCACTGAAGCCATCTATACTGTCACTGCCTGAGCCACCTCTAGAAGTAGAACAGATTCTGCCATCATCCTGCCTTTTTATTTGGCATATATGCCTCCAATTGACAGAACCTAACCACAGCCCACCTATCAAGGAAGACAAAGGATTGGAGTTTTAAGGCCTCCATTGCTAGCAGTCAAAAGACAATGCAGAAGTGTGAGGCCAGGGGCCAACATAAATTTAACAAACACACCACCTCAATATTACATCACCAGGCATTGAGTAGTCAAGGGAAACACTGGGTGATGAGCCCTGAAAACTGACATTACAGCATCAGAGTATTTACAGACTCCTTAAAGAAGTAATTTTTCTAGTCCAATCCTTCATTTGATGCTTGAGAAAGCTGAAGTCCAGAAAAGGGAGCTGATCTACTCAAAGCCAAACTGAAATTATTTGTTTTTCATTTTATAACAGTTTTATATAACTTAGTTGAGACCCAAATGTGTTCTGATTTCCTGAGTTCAGACCAACTATATTAAGAGACAGCCAGAGATGCTGTTACCATAAGCTGTGTGAAATATACTTTCTCATTACGCTGACAGTAGGTCTTTTAGATTTTGTTCAACAGTTGCCCACCTTCTCACTGGAGTAAAATGAATGACTAGGCAGCACCTTACTACATAACATGAAGAGAAGAGACCCATTGTGCTCTATCACCCTGTGTCAGGTGGCCGCTGAGGGAAGATGTGAAAGGAGGTGAGAATAAGGTGTATGGACGTCATCTCTTGCACCATTTTGATAGGCGATGGAGGGAGCTATTACATGAGACATGTGCGTGGGCACTGCTTTACTGCCTAAAATGCAAGACTGTAAATTGATGATGCCTCTCTAGAAAGGAAGTGTGAAGATATAAAAATCCTTCATTCCTACCAATTTTGTACTGGGTGAACAGTAATTGGAAGCATTCTAGAAGGAACTGTCCATCGTGAAATCTTAGGTGCATACTTTTTACATGAAAAACAATGAATTGGGGATACCTCCGTTTTGGTCACAGTTCTGCAAGTGTTGGTTCTATGACTGATGGCGAGACATCTTCCTTGCTCTGCGTATTTAGTTTATCAATATAGTAAGGCTTTTATTGTACCTTTTTATTACATATAGATTTATAATTATTATTCCCTTGGCCAGTTTATCAGTGTGAAGAAAAAGTTATTTTGACACAATTAGCAGGACTTTGTTTCTCTCTCCCCCAGTATGTCAGCCGCCTCCAGATATCCTGCATGGTGAGCGTACCCAAAGGGACAAGGACAACTTTTGGCCTGGCCAGGAAGTGTTCTACAGCTGTGAACCTGGCTATGACCTCAGAGGGGCTCCTTCCCTGCGCTGTACACCCCAGGGAGACTGGAGCCCCGCAGTCCCCAGATGTGAAGGTGCCTAGACTCTTACCTGGCTTGATATTATTAGCTTGTGTCTTAATTCTCCACATGCCAGTTATTTCTGTTTGTTTTTCTTTTCCTCCAGTGAAATCCTGCGATGACTCTCTGGGCCAACTTCCTAATGGCCGTGTACTATTTCCATTTAATCTCCAGCTTGGAGCAAAAGTGGACTTTGTTTGTGATGAAGGGTGAGTATGAGCTTGCCTGACCTGCTGGACATTAAAATTGCGGTTGGGAATTAGTCCAAAAAGGGGAGATTTGGTGTGGCTTAAAAGAAGGACACACACACACACACACACACACACACACACACACACACTCACAGATATGAACTTTTGAAAGTATATATAGGAAGAAAGGAGATAAACATATAGAACTAATTACATGAGATATGAAGAGGAAACTGGGCCATACATCTGGCATGTTCAAAAGCAAATATAACTGCTGGTTATGAATATATAGGTAACACATTAAGGAATATGATTAATTTAGAGAGTCCCAGAAAAAAATTGTTAAGTAACAAAAAGTGTATTCTAAAAAGCTAGGATCATTTAAGAATCATTTCAGCCAGGCATGGTGGCTAACACCTGTAATCCCAGCACTTTGGAGGCCGAGGTGGGCAAATCATCTGAGGTTAGGCATTCAAGACCAGCCTGGCTAACATGATGAAACCCCATCTCTACTAAATATAGAAAATAAATTAGTGGGCTTGGTGGCAGGTGCCTGTAATCCCACCTACTTGGGAGGCTGAGGCAGGAGAATCACTTGAACCAGGGAGGCGGAGGTTGCAGTGAGCCGAGATCATGCCACTGCACTCCAGCCTGGGGGACAGAGCAAGACTCCATTTCAAAGATAATAATTAATTAATTAATATAAAGCATCATTTCAGTAAATTGTTCAAACCAGCAATATTAAAATTTGTAATAGGACTGAACATGTAAAAATAAGCACTTTTTGAAAATTCAGTCATATATCATCTGGCAAGTCATGGGCTTTGGGCTCTGAGATGGGGTCCTGATGGCTGCTGTTAATATTTCTGGCAAGGTCATTAACTTGTTTATGTCCATCTAGTGGTCTTCATAGGGTGTGCATCTCTACTTGGGAGCTGACCAGCATGAGTAACAAAGCACCTGACCCCAAAACCTTCCACAGAATATTGGCAGGCTCTAAATGCCAGCACCCAGTAAGATTTAGGAGGGCATCAGGGTCCAACAGACATTAAGAATTTTTTATGATTGCATACAAAAATCATGTCCTCTCTTCTTTCCTTTTTCCCCTAGAATATTCACACTTACTCTTCAGCAGCTCAAACTGCTGTTGTGAGCCTTTTTCATGCCATCGCAGATGTGGAGACAAAAGGACCATTTCTGTTCTCTCACCAGCTAGTTCCCACTTTTCCAGTCCAAACTGGAAGCTGTTTTACTTGCTGTTTCCGGGTCAGAGTCAGGAAGGCGTTGCATTAAGGACTAGGCTTCTAATAATGACAATGAGTGATTTATCAGGTTATCATGGAGTAATCAGTGAAACTCCAAGCCTGGGTCCAGGGTCAAGGGGATGGTGGCTATGTCATGACCACCTTCTTCAATTCAAGTTGGACTATCATGTGACCAAGCTACTGCATTTTGCCATTCTATATTGCTCCCTTCTGGATGCGGTGCTTTTTCCAGAATAATGTAGTCTCTGCAACTCTGCCACCTGCTGGCCTCAGGTCCTCAAAATTCTGAGATTTGGGGCAGGGCCTTAGACTGTGGACTAAGTGACTGGTCTCTTGGCTGAAACAGCTCACTATTCACTTCTATTTTCTTCTTTAGATTTCAATTAAAAGGCAGCTCTGCTAGTTATTGTGTCTTGGTTGAAATGGAAAGCCTTTGGAATAGCAGTGTTCCAGTGTGTGAACGTGAGTAATAGGAGTAACATTTCAGGCCAATGTCTCCCCTTTATCTCTTCGGTATTTGACCCATGGCTTCCTCTAATGTGGTTCTTCAATTTTCTAGTCTGAATTATTGATTTGAAAATTGCTTATTTTAATAATGTGTGTTGTGAGTTAATGTGTACATCGCTTGTCTTTGGAACCATCTGATCTGTCTCTGCCCTTAGTATCCTGTGTTCTATTGTGATAAATCCTATGGTAGTGTGCTTCTAGGTCAGGAGAGATTAGACAATGTGAAGCTTTAACACTTTGCTTTCTCTCTTTCTTTTCTTTCTTCTTTTTATTCCTTCATTTCTTTCTTCCTTTCTTCTCTCCTTCTCCCTTCCTTCCTTCTTTCCTTCCTTCCTTCCCTCCTTTCTTTTTATTTTGTTCTCCCATCAAACTGCAGTCAGGCTGCAATTTTTGTATCTATCTGATAATACACAAATATCAAACGTGCCTTTATTTAATCAATATTTATTGATCACATACTTTGTGCCAGATGTTCCTCTAGCCACTTGACTTCTAGCAATGAACAAGACGAGTGAATTCCCTGTCCCCATGTTATTTTTACTCAGGTGGGGAGAGGGACAAGAAAAAACTAAATTAAATGCTATGAAGATAATAGATCAAAGCAATGAGGAATTAGGGAAAGGTGGGGAGTAACATCAGACAGGGTGAGCAGTTTGAGACTCCTTAAATTCTCAAAATGTGCAGCTAAATAATTTATACTGAGAGATTCATAAATAATAAATCTATTTTTTAAAAATGAGCCTCATATGTTTAGTAATCAGTAGACTACTAATTTCTCCTAGTCTACCCATTTATAATTTCCCCAATAGAAGATAGAACTTTGCTTTATTTCTTGATTCTAAAGATTGGAAAGCATGCTTCTTTAAAAAAAAAAAAAAACATGAAATTTTACTAAAATGGTTATGTTGTTAGAAATCTACCCGGACATCTTACAGTGCTTTTTAGAGTAAAATTGTATAAGAACATAATTTATATAGTGATTCTTGGCTGTCTAACAAATCCAATGCTCCTTGGAGCAACATGACAAATGCCTGTTCTACTGTCGTGCATGAAAGCTCAGTTATTGATCAGACTACTCAAGTTTTCTCTTATTTTTCACAACGTTTGCTAGTTGAAGTAGCTTCTTCCAAATTCCAATTCTAATAAAAAATGCCAATTAGAAATGAGAAAGAGACTGTTCTAAACAAATCAGCAGATGCGAGAAAGGAGTAACAACTGGAAACCTGACCCAGAAAGTAAAGAGAAAATAAATCAACAGACCTAGACATTTTAAAAATCAAAGCAATCTGAATCCATTTGGAGTTTTTAACAATGGCCTGACTACATTTCAATTCACTGTGACAATGCTATTGTTATTATTGAGACTGATGAACAATATCAATAAGTAATCAATGAAAGGTTTCATCTATTTAAAGTGATTAGCACACATATATACACTTGAGAAATATTTCACAAGAATGTAGGCTCCTTCATCAGCACTGTGTCCCCAGGATCCTGATGAGTGACTGACACAGGATATGTGCTCAGTTAATATATGTTGACTAAGTGAATGAATTACCTTTCAAAGTGGTTGTTTTTCTTCTTCAAATGTTTTGATACTTCATTAAAGTTGTAAAGTTTCTATTGTCCAGGAACTGTTACTATCTGGAAGATTCAGGATAGACAAATCTCTTTTGTACTTTACAATACACTTTCATTGACATCTCATTTAATCCAAATCTTAGAAGTCCTAATGTCTACTGTCATCTCCTTAGCATATTTTAAATAAAAACAATCATAGCACCTTATAATTGCAGAATACCTCTGGTAAAATTCCTGGATGAAACTTAGAGCTTTTGCCTTTTTTCCAGAAATCTTTTGTCCAAGTCCTCCAGATATACCTAACGGGAGACACACAGGAAAACCTCTGGAAGTCTTTCCCTTTGGAAAAGCAGTAAATTACACATGCGACCCCCACCCAGACAGCGGGAAGACTTTTGACCTTGTTGGGGAAAGCACTATCTACTGCACAAGTGACCCCCAAGGAAATGGGGTTTGGAGCAGCCCTGCCCCTCGCTGTGGAATTCTGGGTTAGTGTTCATTTCCCTACATCCCAAATGGATTCAGAATATCTTAACCAGGCCCTCCATATTTCCATAGTTACAGGGTGGTATTTGTGCATTTGCCACAATGGAATGCCAAACCAATGATAAATAGTTCTAAGATAGGGGAACACATAAGATCCTGACAACCTTTGCAGCTGGAAGGGCTGGTGAAAAGGGAGGGAAGGCCGGGCGCAGTGGCTCAAGCCTGTAATCCCAGCACTTTGGGAGGCAGAGGCGGGTGGATCATGAGGTCAAGAGATCGAGACCATCCCGGTCAACATGGTGAAACCCCGTCTCTACTAAAAATACAAAAAAATTAGCTGGGCATGGTGGTGCGTGCCTGTAACCCCAGCTACTCAGGAAGCTGAGGCAGGAGAATTGCCTGAACCCAGGAGGTAGAGGTTGCAGTGAGCTGAGATCGTGCCATTGCACTCCAGCCTGGGTCACAAGAGCGAAACTCCGTCTAAAAAAAAAAAAAAAAGAAAGAAAGAAAGAAAAGGGAGGGAAGTGGTGAGTGGTGATAAAGTTCTTCATTAGAATCATAGGTATTAAAAACAAATGCCTGTCAATGTCCTCATTGAAATGGTTGGCTTAGAAATCTGACCTAGAAAATCGGTGGCTCCTTCTGCCAGGAAATGTCTTGAGTTCCCCCACCCCATGCTTGTCAGCCTCTCGCTGGAGTTTTGATGCTTTGAAGTACAAGGAAACCAGACAGCAAAGGTGTAACCTGGGCATAGAGTCTTCTGATGTCTTCCTAAAATTGTGAAAAATTAATCGGAGCTATCTGTACCTTAAGTTATATGGGCATTAGCCAACTGAGGTGGCAGTCGCCTGTGATCGCAGCTACTCAGGAAGCTGAGATGGGAGGATCACTTAAGCCTGGGAGGCAGAGGTTTCTGTGAGGCAAGATTGTGCCACTAAACTTCAGCCTGGGTCACAGAGTGACAACCTATCTCAAAAATGAAAAACAAAAATAGCCTGGTCACAGTGGCTCACACCTGTAATCCCAGAACTCTGGGAGGCTGAGGTGGGTGGATCACTTGAGGTCAGGAGTTTGAGGCCAGCCTGACCAACATGGTGCAGCTCCAACTCTACTAAAAATGGAAAAAAATAAATAAAAATAAACAAATAAATTATATGAGTAGGAAGATCAGATAGCAGACTAGCCTTCCAGATAATGTATTGCCTTATAAGCCTATGCTGATAAAACTTTCCCTTCCAACATTACTGGGAAGTTTTTTTCTTGTTTTTCAAAACTAATTTTCTTTTCTTCCGGCATCAAATCTAACAAGGAAGAGAAAAGAGAAAGCACATTGGATATCTTTCTATTAACTCAGATGTTCTTGATATCTTGGTCTCTAGGTCACTGTAAAGACCCAGATCATTTTCCGTTTGCTAAGCTGAAAACCCAAACCAATGCATCTGACTTTCCCACTGGGACATCTTTAAAGTACGAATGCCGTCCTGAGTATTACGGGATGCCATTCTCTATCACGTGTCTAGATAACCTGGTCTGGTCAAATCCCGGAAACGTCTGCAAACGTGAGTAACTTACACTGGATCTTTTCCATGTCTGCCAAAGCTTCTTACTGAATTTTTTCAAATGTGGGATATGAGAAACCTTTTTTCAAAAGTGTTCGGGTAGATAGATGTAAGAGTTATTCTTGCAGGTCATCCTTGATTATTGTTTGAAATGCTTACTTCATGAGAATGTTTCAAGAAATATTTATAAAGAAAATATTCCCAATGGGAAAGTAAAAAACAAATGACTGTAGATCAGGGGGGAAATTGTGTAGGAAGACAAATTCTGTTTGAATAACTAGGTGGGAAAAAAATCCTCTGAAAAGTTTGAAATATATTGGCGGTACATAATGCCAAGAATGACTTTTACATTTTGATAGGGGATGCCAGGTCTCTACACAGATCTAAATCTAGATCTAGATAGATCTGGAGGGAAGGTCTTTTTGAAAGTGGGGCTTAGTAGTTGGCCAATCCTGAGGTGCTCTGAGGAGTTTTCTCAAGGTGGGAAAATCTGTGGAACCATCAAAACTATGTATTTTCTTCAGGAAGGTACATGCAGATTGATATCTTATGTACTGAAGAGAGTTCAGATTACCTAGCTCCAAAATACTTTCTTTCCCATAGGTAAATCATGTAAAACTCCTGCAGATCCAATGAATGGCATGGTGCATGTGATCACAAACATCCAGGTTGGATCCAGAATCAACTATTCTTGTAGTACAGGGTGAGTTGGCAGCAACATCTCTTGGTTCAAGAGTTCTAGCACAGTCATACACCTTCTAGCCACATCTCAGGAAGGAAACTGGGCTATTGCCACCTGCTTTTAAGAGGCTTGAACACAGGTGTTAATGCCTGATTGAAGTGCACATATAAAGAGTATGGCATTCACTGGATGGGAAGGAAAATAAATTAGGAAAGAGTATAATACTCAAAGCACACAACCCCAGCCCAGAATAGACATTGCGGGAAGAAAAATGCCATATAGCATCTGTGTGAGAGAACAAATCTTACTGGTAACAGCATGATTGCTTCCTAGGGCTGCCATCACCAAGTTCAGGCCTTCCTTGTTTTATTGCACTTCGCAGATGTTATGCTTTTTACATTGAAGGCTTGTGCCAACCCTGCGACAAGCACGTCTGTTGGCATCATTTTTCCAACAGCGTGTGTTCACTTCGTGTCTCTGTGTTTTGATTATTTTCACGATATCAAACCTTTTCATTATTATCATGTCTGTGACAGTGATCTGTGATTGGGGATCTTTGATGTGACTCTTATAATTGTGGTCACTACGAACTGCACCATGTAAGACAGAAAATTTAATAAATGTGCATGCTTTGACTGCTTCATAAACTAGACACTCCCCTTCTCTCTCCCTCTCTTCTGGACTCCCTAATTCCTGAGACACAATAATACTAAAACTAGGACAATTAATATCCCCACAATGGCCTTTAAGTGATCACATGAAGGGATGAGTCATGCATCTCTTACTTTAAGTCAAAAGCTAGAGATGATTAAGCCTAGTGAGGAAGATATGTTGAAAGCCAAGACAGGCCAAAAGACAGACCTTGTGTGCCAAACAGCTAGTGAGTTGTAAAGGCAAAGCAAAAGTACTTCAGGAAATTTAAAGTGATATTCCAGTAAACACATGAATGATAAGACGGTGAAACAGCCTTATTGCTAATGCAGAAGTTTTAGCTGTCAGATAGAAAATCAAAACAGACACTTCCTTAAGTCAAAGCCTAATCCTGAGCAAGGCCCTGACTCGCTTCAATTCAGTGAAAACTGACAGAGGTAGGAAGCTGCAGAAAAAAAAAGGGGGGGCTGGAAGCTAGCAGAGGTTGGTTCCCGAGGTTTAAGGAAAGAAGGCATCTCCATAACATAAAGGTGCAAGGTGAAGCAAGAAGTGCTGATGTAGAAGCTGCACAATTTGCCTGGAAGATCTAACTAAGATCATTGATGAAGGTGTTACACTAAATAGCAGATTTTCCAAGTAGACAAAACAGCTATCTATTGGACTTTCATAGCTAGAGAGGACAAGTCAATGCCTGGCTTCAATGCTTCAAAGGATAGGCTGACTTTTTAGGAGCTAATGCCATTGGTGACTTTGAGTTGAAGTCAATGCTCACTGACCATTCTAAAAATCCTAGAGCCCTCATGAATTATGCTAAATGTACCTTGCCCGTACTCTATAAATGGAACAACAAAGCCTGATGACAGAGGTATGTTTGCAGCGTGGCTTACTGAAAAAATATTTTAAGCCCACAGCTGAGCTCTAGTGCTCAGAAAAACAGATTCCTTTCAAAATATTATTGCTCATTGACATTGTACCTCATCAGCCAAGGCCTCTGATGGAGAGGGACAAGGAGATGAATGTAGTTTTCCTGCCTGATGACAGCAGCAGCTATTCTGCAGTCCATGGCTGAAGTAGTAATTTTGACTTCCAAGTTTCAATATTTAAGAAATATATTTCATAAGGCTATAGTTCCCACAGACAGTAATTCCTCTGATAGATCTGAACAAAGTAAGTTGAAAACTGCAGGAAAGAATTCATCATTCTACATACCATTAAGAACATTCGTGATTCATGGGAAGAGGTTAAAATATCAACATTAATAGGAGTTTGGTAGAAGTTGATTCCAATCTTCATGGATAACTTTGTGAGGTTCAAGACTTCAGTGGAGAAAATAACTGCAAATGTGGTGGAAATAGCAAGAGAACTACAATTAGAAGTGGAGCCTGAAGATGTGACTGAATTGCTACAATCTCATGATCCAACTTGAACAGATGAGGAGTTGCTTCTTATGAATGAGCAGAGAAAGTGGTTTTTTTGAGATGGAGTCTCTGCCTGGTGAAGATGATGTGAGCATTGTTTAAAATGACCACAAACGATTTAAAATATGACATAAACTTAGTTGATAAAGCAGCAGCAGTGTCTGGGAGGATTGACTCCAATTGTGAAAGCAGTTCAGAGGGTAAAATGTTATCAAAGAGCCTTGCATGCTAGAAAAATCTTTTGTGAAAGGAAGAGTCAATCAATAGGCAAATTTTATTGTTGTCTTAGCTTAAGAAATTGCCACAGCCATCCCAGCCTTCAGCAACCACCACCCTGATCAGTCAGCAGCCATCAGTCTTGAGGCAAGACCCTCCACCAGCAAAAAGATGATGACTAATTGAGGGTCAGATAATCTTTAGCATTTTTTATCAATAAACCATTTTAAAAGTATGACAATTTTTAGACATAATGCTATTTCACACTTAATAGACTACAGTATAGTATAAAAACAACTTTTAGACTCACTGAGAAATCAATAAGTTCATATGACTCATTTGTTGTGCTATTTGTTGTATTGTGGTGGTCTGGAACTGAACCTGCAATACCTTTGTGGTATGTCTGTAACATAAAATGGCCAACTTAATACAACAGAAGTTTTTGGAGGTCTGTTCTGGAGGCTGGAAGTCCAAAATCAAGGTGTTGGCAGGGACATGCTCCCTCTGAATCCTGTAGGGGAGGATCCTTCATTGCATCTTCCAGCTTCTGGAGCCCCAGAAGCTTCCTTGGCATGTTGCAACAGAACTCCAATTTCTGTCTCTGTCCTCATGTGGCTGCCTTCCCTCTGGGTCTGTGTCCTCACACGCGGTTCTCCTCTCTGTGCACGTGTGTGCCCAAAGTTCTCTCGTTTGATAAGAACGTCAGTCATATTAGGGCCTACCTTAATGGCCTCCTCTTGACTTGACTGGATCTGCAGGTTGTATTTCCAAATAAGATCACATCCACCGGGACTGGGGGTTAAGACTTCAACATATTTGGGAGAGACACAATTCGATCGATAACAGAGCCCCTTTGAAAATGTCAAATGTCAAATGCTCTTGGCACACGGTCCAGCTGTTCGTGCTCAACTTTCCCCAGCACACAGTGGAGGCTCTGCCTCAATCTCACTCTTCATGGGAACAGCTAAGCCCGGTAGTGAGTAGGGGCTACATTTGTGCCACTGCAACAGACACCGCAAGGCAGCTTGTGATGCCCAGCAGCATATTTGCCAGCCTTGGCCTCACAGACCATAGCACCTAGAATCTAAAAAGGTAAAAATAAAATAAATCTAACTTCTTTTCTTTTTTTTTTTTGAGCATTTTAAAAATACAATTGATAAATTTCCTGACTGTACCCTCCTCATCTTGCATTGCTGAATAAGTGTGAACCTCTCTATGGCATAAAGCAGAAAATCATTGAGCTTATGACGAGAAACAGGAAATAATTGTAAAAAAGACCAAATTGAAATATCAGGAGAAATTTCCTCCTACAGAAGAGATTTACTGCCAAGAAACCAGGGAAACTTTCAGAACATTCTTCTTTTCTTAGTTTTTTAAAAGATTCAGTTGTACAAATACTTCTGTGAAACTAACCAGGAAGTTTGTACATGAATAAATATATGTTTTCAGTGTGTTTATACATTTCATTTCATACATGAGTCATATATATATACATACAAATATATAACAAACACACTGAATATTGCAGAAAATTAAAGCAAAGAGTAAGAAGAGTTAACTAAATTTTCCTGAATGCAGTGGGAAAAGATGAAAAAGACAGACTGGCAGGCACAGTGGCTCACACCTGTAATCCCAACACTTTGAGAGGTCAAGACAAGAGGACCACTTGAGCCCAGGAGCCCGAGACCATCCGAAGCAACAAGGCAAAATCCCATTTCTACAAAAAAAGTATAAAAATTAGCTGGGCATGGTGGCACGCACCTGTAGTCACAGCTATGCAGGAGAGTGAGGTGGAAGGATCACCTGAGCCCAGGATGCTGAGGCTTCAGTGAGCCGTGATGGCACCCCTGCACTCCAGCCTGGATGACAGAATGAGACCCTATCTCAAAAAAAACAAAGAGAGAAGACATATGTAAGACAATGTTACGATTCAAAATAAATGTAACAAAAATTCAAAAAGGATAAACAAATAAGCCCATACCTAGCCATCACTAGGGAAAATTCTCTGTTTCAGGGATAGACAAAAAAGCTCAGTTTCCAGAAATAAAATGTGAAAATACGATACCCACAAAAGAAATAAATTTATTGGCCCCACCTTGATTCTACACAACACTAAATTGTATAAGATAGCAGTTCTATTGAGCCAAGCTAATATTCACACCTAGAGGCTCCAGATACACATTAAGGGATAAGCAAAGACATAAAAAATATAACATTTAAGTATGTTTCCCAGGCAATTCATAAGCAAATTTTTAAAAAGGAGAATGATGAATTCCAAGAGAAATATCAATGAGATCGAGAATGGGTAAGAACCAACAACAACAAAAAAAATAAAACCATACACACAGAAACTTGGCAATGTAATCATGATTTAGTAATAATGTCTCTAAAATCACAAAACATATTAATAAAACTAGAAAATGTGAGAAAACAAGAAAAGGTAGTCTACACCTACATTTCAGGAAAGATGTGTAGACTGGCTATACAGTTTGACTCTAAAAATGAGAAAATAGATTTAAATGTATGTCATGTATATATGCATAATACACATGCACACATATAAAATGAAATTCCTCATTGGAAAAATATTAAGTTTAATTACCAAATTATTAGAATAACTAAAACAGCTGAATCTATCTGTTCCATATAGCAAGTGGGAGGGAAGGAAAAGGAACAGCAAGGAATGCATTTGTCTCTTCCACCAAAAAGAAGCCCACTCAGGCTTAGGTCAGGTCATTTTATTCATTGCTTTCTCCTCATTCTCATCATTGGACATCAGGCAATCAATGAAAAAGGCAGTGAAAGAATGATGACAAAAGCCAATCAACTGTAGCATTTATCTCAATACATTTGGCTTAATCTTCTTGTTGAAAGGCAAAGTCTCCTAGAAAGGATCAAAGGCAACAAATCTTGTATTTATAAAAAAAAAAAAAAAAAAAAACACGTCTCAAGTAAAATGTCATAGTATTATACACACACACACACATCAAGGGACAATGCAAACAAACAATGGCAGAAATAATATGAGAAAAGATAGAATTTAAGAAAAATAAAGTCAAACAGGTCTGCAAAATAATTGTGTGATTTTGGTGCCAGGTGCAGTCCACAATGAAGCCAAGATATTAAGAAGCAAAGAGGGCCAGGAGAAGTTAGAGCAGAAATATCTCTTACAATGGTGAGAGAATAGGAAAGAGAAGTGAGAAAAGTTGGGAACACACTTGAAGTTTAGGCTGGGCCGTAGACTTCTGCATTGTAATCCTTCTGGTTTGCCACATATGCATGCTGTGAGGAAGCTGACAAGGTATGCACGGCACAATTAGTTTCCATTTTTTGCCTTTAGGTACCGCCTCATTGGTCGGTCATCTGCTGAATGTATCATCTCAGGCAATATTGCCCACTGGAGCACAAAGCCACCAATTTGTCAAGGTGAGTTGAAATCTTTTTCCCCATTCAACCCATCATTTAATTCTAGCATGACCTTCCTAGAATTATAAAGAATGAATCTCATCCCTCTTGAAATGGTATCCTTTTGATATTTGAAGAATGCAGTCATATCCTAGTCATATCCTTAAAATGGCTGACAGCATTGCCTTCCACCTTCATCTAGAAATGCTTTTTTTCCCCCCTTATCTTAAGGGGTAATTCATTTTAAACTAGTCTTGAGCTCATTTAAACAGCCCCCAATTCCCTCTTCCCAGTTTGAAGAGCATTTTCTTTAGTGAAGTCAACAAATACAAACTTGGTGAAAGAAACCCTATATCCTCTCTGCAGGCTCTTAGTATCACATCAGCTATTCAAGCAATGCAGCCCTTTCTTCCTTTTTATTATTTGTCTAAACAGGGGCATGCCATCTTCCCTGTCAGTTGTTTGGAAGATGAGCTTCCTAGATTTGGGGGAGCAAAGAGGAATGAGCAATTGCAAGCTAACAAGGAACATAAAATGGATATAATCCTGGGTTTGGTGATGGTGTGAGGAAATCAGCAATTTCGAATACACCGGTGGGAGAACAAGTGGACGCAAACTTTGTGGAAGGCCGATCTGGCTAGAGTAGGACACACTATTCAGTTTTTTCAAGATCAGACAAGATTGGGGGAATTCAGGGTGGTATGGCTGTAGATCAGTATTCAGTTCTTTTTATTACTTCTGAATCTGCAAATATTGTGTTTATTACATGTAATATTGTATACTTGTGCTTTGTGTCATATTGCATATTTTTGCTTTGTCTTTATTAGTTCTGCCAGAGATTTTGTTTTTGTTATTTAATAAAGATGCTATACTGGGCAAGGTATGGTGGCTCATACTGTAATCCCAGCACTTTGGGAGGCCTAGGTGAGCAGATCAATTGATCTCTGGAATTCAAGACCAGCCTATACGACATGATGAAACCCTGTCTCTACAAAAATACAAAGATCAAACAGGCATGGTGGCACACGTTTATAGTCAGAACTATTCAGGGGGTTGAGAGGTAGGAGGATTTCTTGAACCAGAGAGATCAAGGCTGCAATGAGACATGATTGTGCCACTGCACACCAGCCTGGGCAGCAGAGCAAGACCCTGTCTCAAAAAAAAATACTATGCTATATGCTTTATTATATTAATAACCAATAGAATAAAGCCAAATGCCTTCTATATAGAGAGAGAACTAAATTAATAATGGTGAGATAACATAGTTGAATTCTCATTTAGCAGGAGAAATATAAACATATACTATAGGCCAGGCACAGTGGCTCACACCTTTAATCCCAGCACATTGGGAGGCCGGGACAGGCAGATCACTTGAGGTCAGGAGTTCAAGACTAGCCTGGCCAACATGGTGAAACCTATCTCCACTAAAAATACAAAAGTTAGCCCAATGTGGTGGAGCATGCCTGTAATTCCAGCTACTCAGGAGGCTGAGGCAGGAGAATCTCTTGAACCTGGAAGGCATGGGTTGCAGTGAGCAAAGATCACGCCACTGCACTACAGCCTGGGTGACGGAGTGAGACTCTGTTCTCAAAAAAAAAAAAAAAAAAAAAAAAAAAAGTGGACTATAATAATATATGGACACATTTCGTGAAGTAATGTTAACTGAGAAGAGCAGAACTCATAATATTATAAAACTGTAAGAATATGTCTGTACATTAGCAAATATTACATGAGAATAATATCATGAATATTTACTTCTGGTAATCTTGGATTTTAAAAAAACTGTTAGCAAAATTTACACTAAACTATAACTTCAAGAAACCAGGCCAAGGGTGGTGGCTCTCACCTGTAATGCCAGCATTTTGAAAGGCCGAGGCAGGCAGATTGCTTGAGGCCAGGAGTTCAAGACTAGCCTGGCCAAACCCTATCTCTAATAAAAATGCAAAAATTAATCAGACATGATGATGCATGCCTATAATCCAGCTACTCGGGAGACTGAGGTGGGAGGATTGCTTGACCTGGGAAGCAAAGGTTGCAGTGAGCCGTGATCCTGCCACAGCACTCAAGACTCTGTCCCAAGGTATTGTTTTGGTTAACTTGCTGTCTCTTTTCCCAGAAATTCCTTGTGGGCTACCCCCCACCATCGCCCATGGATATTTCACTAGCACCAACAGGGAGTATTTTCACTATGGATCGGTGGTGACCTACCACTGCAATCCTGGAAGCAGAGGGAGAAATGTGTTTGAGCTCGTGGGTGAGCGCTCCATATACTGCACCAGCAATGAGGATCAAGAGGGTGTCTGGAGCGGCCCAGCCCCTCAGTGTATTATACCTAACAAATGCATGCCTCCAAATGTTGAAAATGGAATAATGGTGTCTGACAACAGAAGTTTATTTTCCTTAAACGAAGTTGTGGAGTTTAGGTGTCAGCCTGGCTTTGTCATGAAAGGATCCCCCCGTGTGCAATGTCAGGCCCTGAACAAATGGAAGCCAGAGTTACCAAGCTGCTCCAGGGGTGAGTCTGACTGAGGCCTAGAAGGGCCCTGCAAATGACATGAGTTGCTGTTGGATCAGGAGATTAGTATTTGTTCAGAGGGAGGGATGTGTGGTGAGCAGTGTGGGAGAGCAAGTTTGGGAAAAAGAAGCACGAAATTAAGAATCGGGGTGTGCATGCCCCTATGCATATGTGTCTTCACTGTGAAAAGCAAGACCTTAATTAGCAAAGAAAAAAGATTTTGGACCCACCTATTAATCGGCTATCAGGGCAAAGTACCAGCTGCACTATCTCTCAATTATATTGAAAAATCATATGGACTTTCTTTATGGTCAGCTGTGCACTAAGCACTTTATATATATTTTCTCATTATTTATAATAACACTTTGAAATTGTGTTGTTGTAATATCCAGTTAATAGTGAAGTCAGCTTGGCCTTTCAGAGGTTAGGTCAATTGGCCAAGTCACATGCTCTAGCTCGGACACCCAAGATTTTAAAAGGCAAGGGTCTCAGACCCCAGAGTCTGAATGCTCTGGCTCTTGCCATACTTCTCTCAGCATCCATTGGTGACTGAAAGAGACTGGTTTACAAAGACCAGAAATCACAGCATCAGAATAGAGACAAAGACTTTAGAGTTTGTCTATAATGGTCTGTCTCCTACATTTTATTCTGTTATTTTATTTTATTAAAAACCTGTTTATTAGGGTTGAGGTCCGTCTCTGTTGCCCAGGCTGATCAATGATACAGTGATACAGTCATGGCTCACTGTAGCCTCAAACTCCTGGGCTCAAGCCATCCACCTCCTACATTTTATCCCTGGGAATCTAAGAGTGAAAGTAACTTGCCCTAAGCCAGTTAAGATTTTTAAATTCATCTTGAATGAGGTACAGATTAGATTGATGTTAAATGGGTTCTGATGCCCTAAGCATGGACGAACAGGACTGTAAATAAAGGCAGACGTTGAGTCAAACACTCTCCAAATAATAGGTCCTCTCATGACAAAGGGCTGGCTTATTTAAGGGCTTTTGTTTTTGGTAGCTCATCTTGTCTGCTGGTGTCACAATAGCTGGTTTAGCAGTGGAGTGGGAGGTGTAATGGCTGATACGTAGGGACAGAGAAGAAGCTTACAATTCTTCTACCAACCCGTGTGAGCCTTGTGCAACCACTGAGCTGGGAAGATGAACAGATAAAGACATACGAAGTCGGATGTATTGAGGTAGGAGATGGGCAGTGCTTGTGTCGTGTTCACAATCCTGCTGACCAAAACAGGATCTGGCTTAGACAGGATGAAGTGAAGAAACAGCAGGAACCAGCAGATGGCGACAAAAGCAATCCCTAGCAGGAACCAGCAGATGGCGATGAAAGCAATCCCTAGCTGCCCTCACATTCCCATCAGCACCATGACAGTTTACAAAGGGCCATGGCAATGACCTGGAAGTTACCGCCCCTTTCCTGGAAAGTTCTAAATAACTCACCTCTTAATTTGCATTGATCAGTCCTTAATTTACATGTAATTGAAGCAGGTTTACAGGAGTATAAATAGAGTTGCCTGCTAGGAGCCCGTATGTTGCTGACTCTGGACACACTGCCTGTGAGTTAGCCGTGCTCTGCAAGGGGCAGTGTCTTTCACCAAAAGATTGCTATCTAGCACCACTGGCTCATCTTCAAATTCTTTCCTGGGTGAGGCAAGAACCCTTCAGAATAAGCCCCAATTTGGGGGCTTGCCTGTCCTGAAACAGTATGACTGTACTTTAGTCATAGGTGTGCAATCAAAGAAATGGGGGGGGAATCTGTAAAACAGGCTTGGGCTTAGGTGACAGTCTCATTACCTGAATAACAGGTGAAAACTGGGATTGCCTTCCTAGGAAGCATGTAAATGGAGAATCCACCAATACTAACAATTCCATACCAGATAGCAAGAGCTAGGTGAAAAAACCTCATGCCTTGTAGACTTACAAGTGAATTTGAGGTCTTGTGCTAGGAAGAATTGGGTTCTATTTCTCTACCTCTGACTAGTTATGAGGGCTTCAGCAAGCATAAGCTATAGCAAAGGAAATTCCTCCATAACTAACAAGTACTCTGGAACTGTCCTTTCCACAGTGTGTCAGCTACCTCCAGAAATTCTGCATGGTGAGCATACCCAAAGCAATCAGGTCAACTTTTCACCTGGGCAGGAAGTGTTCTACAGCTGTGAGCCCGGCTATGACCTCAGAGGGGCTGCTTCTCTGCACTGCACTCCCCAGGGAGACTGGAGCCCTGAAGCCCCCAGATGTGCAGGTGCCTCGACTCTCTGGCTTCTAGATTGCTCTCTGTAACCCTCACATGGAAGTCTTACTCCTATTTTTTTTTTTTTATTCTAGTGAAATCCTGTGATTTCTTGGGTCAACTCCCACATGGCCGTGTGCTGCTTCCACTTAATCTCCAGCTTGGGGCAAAAGTGTCTTTTATTTGTGATGAAGGGTGAGTGTGACCCAGAATTAAGATCAGCAACTCAGCTCTGGAGAGTGACTCTTGAGCTCAAGGATCAATTCAAAAAGAGGGCTGACCTAGGAAAAGAAGAATACAGGGAGATTAACTTCTGGAAGTGTGGTTTTAAAAAAGGGTAGGGGCTAAGTGGCAGTACTATCAGGAGGTAAAGAGACAAAGAAAAAATGGCACATACAACTCGTGTCAAGTACAAACAGAAATACAGCCAGCAGTCCAGAAAAGGAGACTGACCTAGCGCAAAGAAGTACTGGAGGAGAATAATGTCGGAAACAATGATTGGGAAGTGCAGTATGAACCAGATGGATCCATGAACAGAGGTTTAAAAAAGGAAAAAAGCTCAACTCATTTGATTTCTCACTGATAGAGGCTCAGAAATCAAATTATTTTGGAAAACATGCAGGGACAAAGCAGAAACAGCAACAGAAATGCAACAGATCTTGGAAAAAAAAGTGTATATATATATATATATATATATATTTATATATATTTATATGTGTGTGTGCGTATATATATGGGACGTTAGATGTACGAACAAATAATAATTTGCATACATGAAGAGATAAATATTCTAAGGGGTTGTTAAGAAAAGTCATGTAAGAGAAAGTTGTGTATAAGATAAATAACATGCAAAGATTATTTCACAAAATTTTAAACAAATAAATAGTGGAATTTGTCGTAAGAATGAAAGAGTAAGTAAAAATACTTTAAAATCCAATTACATATGATTGACAGCTTTGCCAGCTGTTTGCTTTGTCCTCACTGAAAGCTACACTTTCTCCAACATGATTTGTCTTCTGAGCCTGTCAGTGAGAAACCAAGTGAACTGAGTGTTTTTACCTGTGCTTTAGCTGAGCAGTGAGATGTTGATTAAGTTAGTAATTCTCAGGGAGGAGGCTGAGATCTGTCAATAAAGGGAAGAGAGAAATGGTGCATTCATCCAGACACTACTGCTTTGTTGTTTAGGTTTCGCTTGAACGGCAGTTCCGTTAGTCATTGTGTCTTGGATGGAATAAGAAGCCTTTGGAGTAGCAGTGTTCCTGTGTGTGAACGTGAGTAGATGAAATAATTCTTCAGTCTGGATCTTTTTCTTTGTTTTTTTTCTGATTGTGGTTTGCCCCATGAGATGATCTATTGTTTGTACCGGTATTTATGTCCATTTTTAATAGAAATTGTTTTTTGTTGGAATAGATACAAGCAATGTTTTGGGGGAAAATAAACCTGAGCATCATGTTGTTTTGGGTAACATCCTATAAATATTTATGAGGAGAGTCTTTGCTATAAAAAGAGAGAAATGCTTCATAGAAATAAATGTACAGCAAGATGCTATGCTAAATTTTTCTCTTCTTTCCTGTCAGAAGTAATAGCCACACTTCAACTTTTCAGTTCTTCCCTCAGTTATCCATTTAGTCATCTACTCATTCTTTTAACACAAAATTATTTGAGCACCTATTAGTGCCAAGCAATCTTCTGGGAACTGGGAATATGCCTATAAACAGGACAGATACGTCCATGTTTATATTTTTGTGCGAGAATAAAGACAAAACAAAAATATGAATAGAAATGTTCAAATAATACTAGGGGTTATTAAGAAAATGCTCTTAATTGATTCAGTGCTCTCAGTTGAGAAAGTAGCTGAGGACTCCAAAGACAAGCATACCTCTAGGTATAGCTGAGGGTTCAAACTGGGAGGCTGTTGCAGCAATTTAATCAGAGATGTTGGCCTAGGATAGCTGTTGGGAAAGGTGATGATGAGAAGTGATCAAATTCTGGATATATTTTCAAAGTGCATTTGCTGATGGTTTGCTTATGTGAAAGAAAGAGAAGAATCATAGACAGTTTCCAGGTTTTTGGCCAGAATGACTGCCAGGGTAGAATTTCCCTTAGCTGAAATGCAGGGAACTGCATGAAGTATGGCAATGGGTGAAATCAAAAGTTAAGCTTAGGCCATAAGTTTCGTATTCCTCTTAATATCCAGATGGGTATCTTGGAGAGTCCCAGGCTGCCCATAGGTAGGTAAAAGCCATCATTGTGTCTGCTATGCTTAAAATCAGGACTGAAAGAGATCCTCACCTAGAGAGTGAGTGCTGCTCAAGAACAGATGCTTGGACTCAGCCAGGATGTCCAGGATTAAGAGTTGAAAAGGTGAGAAGGAATTAGGATGAAGGGGATTATGATGAGGCAGCCACTGCAGTAAGAGAAAACACAGGCGGGTGAGGTGCCCTGGAAGCCAAGTGGGGAAATTCTATTAAGGAGATTAGACTAACCAGCTGTGTCAAATGCTATAGAAAGGTCAAATTCAGTGGGCACCGAAAACTGATCTTTGGGTTTAGCAACTTAGAGGTAACAAGTGGCAGTTTCAGCAGAGTGCTGGCAAACACTGACTCGAATAAATTCTTGGGAGAATGAATGGGAGGAATTGTAACAGATCATAGACAATATTTTAGAGGAGTTTTCATGTAAAGAGAGTAGAAGTAGGACTATAGCTGGAGGAAGAAATGGCAACAAGGGGGTTGCTTTTTTAAGAGGGCAGAAAATAGTGTATAAAAAACAGAAACACTATTATGTCCAATATGTTCATTTACTTCTTCACTAAATCAATCAGTGATATTGCTTCCCCTTCTAAGCATAGCTATTAAAAATACATGTTTACAATAGAATTTTGCTCAAATGAATACTTTTTAAAAATTATTTCAATGTCTTGTACTGATTTATATGATGAAACATGATAGTTTCATCTTGCATAGGTGGAAGTCAGCTATTTGACCAAGGGGAAGTCAACTATTTCCCTGAAATAGTTAAGAAGTATGAAAGAAAAAAAAAAAGAAAATACCCTCATGAAGTCAACATATACCTGAAATCACTGACTAGAGTGTAAACATTGGTTAAGCTATTTTAGCCTTTGATTAGTTTATCTATAATTTTTTTAAGCTGTAATATCCTCTTCCCAAATTCAAAGCAAATTAGAAAGGGAAAGGAGTGTCTCCAAATAGAGGCATTCCAAAGAATAAATGTGTTTATTTAACAACAACAAAAAATCCTTTAAAAACCAATGAGTATCTCAAAAAAGCCTAACAATCTTGAGCCTTTTGAAACACATACAAGAGTACACAGTATATTTTACTTCATTATGACAGCATTACTGTAATCTTTCATATTTATTTTGAAAATCATTGCCTGGCATCATAAAGAAAAATTAAATCACTGATATACAAATACTAAATGCATAATATATTTTAGAATGATGTCTCCAGGATGCAGATTCTTGATGTCAAAGATCATATTTATCTTGGGCTTAAAATGGTACTTGACATACAGCAGGTACTCAAAAAATGCTTACTGAATTAATGGATGATTTCCCTTTAATGTGGCTATGAAGATTTTTATTCACTTTAAAGGAATATACTGTTTATTATTCAGAAATCTTAACTATCTGAAAAATATAGGATGCTTAATTTGGGGAAGACTTTTGTAATAAACATTGATTTAGTTGTCATTTCATTTAGCTCCATCTTAGCAGAAGCCTAATACCTTTATTATGCAGTTTCTACTTTCCTTAAGAAAAAAGTATGCTTAATTAGTGACACAGTCCACCGTATGAGAACTGTGGAATCACCTTGGATTTGAATTTAAAATTTTAGATGGAAATGAGAGCTCTTGTTTTCTTTCTAGAAATCTTTTGTCCAAATCCTCCAGCTATCCTTAATGGGAGACACACAGAAACTCCCCTTGGAGATATTCCCTATGGAAAAGAAGTATCTTACACATGCGACCCCCACCCAGACAGAGGGATGACCTTCGACCTCATAGGGGAGAGCACCATCCGCTGCACAAGTGACCCTCAAGGGAATGGGGTTTGGAGCAGCCCCGCCCCTCACTGTGAACTTTCTGCTCCTGCTGGTCAGTATCTGCTTCCACATATCCTAAATGGGTTCAGAATATCTGGACCCAATTCTTCATGTCTCTATAATAAAAGCATGGTATCTGTTTGTGAGATTAACTTTGTCATAAGTGGAAATGTCAAAATGACATACTGTAGCTAAAATAGGGGTTTCAGCAGTGCCAAGATGTGTTTGGATTGATAAGATGAGCAGAACTCTCCTTGCTGGTGGAGTGGAGAAGGGTGGGGTAAGGGGACTGAAGGGAGTGGTGGAGGGAAGGCACCAAGACGAAGCTAGGAAGAAAAATGTATTCACTGGAGAGGACACGAAAACAACTGCCTATGAACACTAGCCAGTATCAGTATAATTGACAGACACGCTCCGTAAGTTCATGAGATGCACATGGGCATGAAATGTTCAGAACTGGAAATGTGGATATTATTTAGCTAAGGTTTTAACTAGTGTTTTGCTGCATGGGCTAGCCAAAAAGACTCTTTGTCTTGACTAAAAGTTTGTCCAGTTGTCAGCTTGCCTCCAGGCCAACTTCATCTTTGTACTTGAACTGTTCCACTCAGGGATAAGAAGCAAGGAAATGAGCAGCCCAAAGAAAAGAGTATGAAAAGGAAGAGGCTGTTTCTTCCTAAGGAAGGGAGAAGTTAGGGCAAACGTTTCGGCCTTTTCCAGAACAGAAGCTGGAGTAGATTGGAGATGTGGCACCAGCCTTGGAATATTCCACTATCCACAGGGAAACCCTGAGAGAGAAGAGCAATCCAAAGTGAAAAGGCATTTAAACCTGATGAAAGACATTTAACCTTTCTTTGATCTTTATCCTCCAACTGAGTGGTACCCTTCAGATAAATTTTTTTATTTATTTTAAAATTTCTTATTTTATTTTAAAATTTACTGGTACCAGTAAATTTTTTGTTTGTTTTTGTTTTTTTGGAGATGGATTCTCACTCTGTCGCCAGGGTGGAGTGCAGTGGCGTGATCTTGGCTCACTGCAAAGTCCACCTCCTGGGTTCAAGTGATTATCCTGCCTCAGCCTCCCGAGTAGCTGGGACTACAGGCATGTGCCACCATGCCCAGCTAATTTTTGCATTTTTAGTAGAGATAGGGTTTCACCTTGTTGGCCAGGTTGGTCTTGAACTCCCTACCTCAGGTGATCCACCTGCCTTGGCCTCCCGAGGTGTTAAGATTACAGGCATGAACCACTTCACCCAGCCCATAAATAATCTTTATTAGGAGATGCAAGGTAGTCTTTTTTAAGGTGGTTTAAAGATTATGTGGTTCTGAGGTTGTCTGCCAAGTTTCCTCAACGTAGTCAATTCTGTTGAAACAATCAGAACTGTATATGCTGTTCAGTATGCCACACTCCAGTTTGAACCTTGCAAACAAAGGTAAATTGAACTCTACACTTAATCTCAAATTCTGCTTCTTCCTCCTAGGAAAATCATGTGGAACTCCTCCAAAACCCTTCAATGGAATGGTTCATGTAAACACTGACACCCAAGTTGGATCAACAATTAATTATTCTTGTAATGAAGGGTGAGTTGAAAATACCATCTCTTGAATATTAGTTCCAGAACAGCAGAGCCAACTTCTGATCCAGTCTCAGATAGACAAACTAAACTATTGCTACCTTTACTTTAAAAGCAAGCAATCAGACTTCTAGATGGAGATTATACCTCGAGAGAGAGAGAGAGAGAAAAGAAGGAAGGAAGGAAGGAAGGAAGGAAAGAAAGAAGAAAAGAAAAAGAACAAGAAAACATTGCTTAAAGAGTAGATTTTAAATGTTCTCACCACAAAAATAAAGTACATGAGGACATGTAAGTTAATTTAATCATTTACAACAGAAATGTACAGCAAAACACCACGTTTTACCCTATAAATTATACAATTATTATTTGCTAATTAAAAATAAAATCAAATTTTAAAAAATATTTACTGTGTTTTTGCAGCCATACCTAGGCTGGAAACTGCTTCACGTTTTGGCTCTAACACACTAGCTTAGTCACAGCGAGCACATCAAAAACAACCTCCAGGACAAGCATCCCCAAACTACGGCCTGTGGGCCACATGCGGCCCCCTGAGGCCATCTATCCGGCCCACCGCTGCACTTCAGGAAGGGGCACCTCTTTCATTGGTGGTCAGTGAGAGGAGCACAGTATGTGGCGACCCTCCAATGGTCTGAGGGACAGTGAACTGGCCCCCTGTGTAAAAAGTTTGGAGACGCCTGCTCTAGGAGGCCAAAATTCAGAGGACACCCATGATCCTGCACTCTTAGACAACTTTTAAATGTATGATAGGAGACAGGCAGAGGAAAACACGGGTAATCATGGGATTATCATCTTCTTTGCTTACTCCAGTGGTTCTCAACTTGTTTATTTGCAGCAATTTTTAAGATTTTTCCTTGGCACACTTGAAAAGATTTTATAGCACAACCTATCAGACTAGCAATAAGCAAAATTCAATCACTACCTAAAACATAAGAGACTCACTGTGTCTACAAAAACATTGTCATTGCCATAGTCACACAGTTCTCTTTAGCTTTATGTCACTGTTTTGGGAAGAGCTGGTATGTCAATTAAAATTAGATCCAACTGTAAAAGACAGAAGAAATAAAATAACTGGATCCCAAACATAGATAGTAGTTTACTTCTCTGTCAGGTTAAAAATCACTAAGGTAGGCAGTCCAGGGTTTATGCAATGACTCCATAATCCACAGAAACCTGGGTTCCTTCCATTTTGCTACTCTGACCTTCTCAAAATGAGAGTCCATCTTTTCTCGTGATCCAAACTTCAGCCAGTATAGAGGACACAGGGAAGAAGGGAAGGTCAATTCCTTTAAAGGCGCTTTCCAAAAGTTGCACAAGAGACTCCACTTACATCCTCTGGCCAGAAGTTAGTAACATGGCTGTACCTGGCTGTAAGGAAAGGTGAGACGCGAAAACTTTATTGCAGGTGGCCAATGGCCCAGTTAAAAATAGAGGTTTCCATTACTAATGAAGGAGAGGAAAGTGGATACTGCGGATGGCACCAGTAGTCTTGACTACAAATGGTTACTGCCCTGATCACATTTCTTACGTAATCAAGTGGAAAACTTCTTAACTCTTGCAGTTCTGCCTCATGTTTATATGGCATTCCATTTTACCCTGTAATTTTTACTAGGTCAAGTTTAGTTCTGCTGTACACCAGAACATATGAATAGCTTTGCTCAGCATTCTTTGTGACCTTTCTCATAGTAAAATTATAGATACCTAATAAATTTTTTAAAAGACAAAATGTTCTATGTTTTGTGGACTACTCTGGAAGGTTTTACGGCAAAGTGGGTGAGTATCCCTGCCTTTCACATTTCAAGTGTAGGGGTGTTTAGCTGTCTACTCTGGCTCCCATTTACTGACTTTTCTGGGTAAATCCACCATTCTTTTCTTTATGCAAGAAATTATCTGAGCACCCAAAGCTTGAAAGTCGCTAAGCTAGGTGCTACAGTGCTATGTATTTCAGTAGGAGATCTTCCCTGCTTAATCCAGGAGCTTATCATTTCCTTGCTGGACGTACACATGGATAAAATAACTGTGAAGTTTCCTAACAACTTAAGTTTAAAAATGTCCCATGTCACATAAAGGAAATATCTCATTCAGTTATGAGGGACTAGGAATAAAAATGAATTGGCGAGGTTAAAATGTAAGCTTGTCCTTAAAAAGAAAGGACTACTTTGCAGAGGGAGATGGGGTTTTTTCCTTCCGAGTTCTGCCATGGTGTGATTTGTCCTGTAATGTCTAATGTTTACCTGCTATTATTTTCTAAATGGTGAGTTAAGTGGGAAAAATGTGTAGAGTATAATTATTTTTTATCCTTTGCTTTAGGTTTCGACTGATTGGTTCCCCATCCACTACTTGTCTCATCTCAGGCAATAATGTCGCATGGGATAAGGAGGCACCTATTTGTGAGAGTAAGTTGAAATATTTTTCTCCACAAATTCCTCCATGTGATCCTGACTTGCCCCTGGACTACGAAGAATATATCTAATCCTTGCACAAAGTAGTCTCTGACATATTTGAAAATACGAGTCAGATGTTACATGGTCTTCCTGGCTTTTCTTTATCTTAAAAGGTGATTTATCTGATGCTATGGGCTTGAACCCAGGCAAATAGCCCTACTTTCCTATTGTAATAGTAAACCTTTCCAGTATAGAGAGTGTTGTCCTTAATGAGTAAATTTTAAAGGCATTAGACAAAATTAGATCTGTCTTTGCCAACTCTTACTATCAAGTTACAATTCCAGGAAGTAGGCTACTCACTTTCTTGTTATTCTAATCCAAACAATAAAAAGAATTCTTCTTACAGTTCTTAGCAATTTTCCTAACTCTCTGATTATTTTGAGTTCTAATTCTACTTCAATTCTTTCAAAGGAGAAATCATTGTATTACAAAGACGAATGCACACGTGTGTTTATTGAGGCACTGTTCACAATAGCAAACACTTGGAACCAACCCAAATGCCCATCAATGATAGACTGGAAAAAGAAAATGTGGCACATACACACCGTGGAATACTATGCAGCCATCAAAAAGATGATTTCATGTCCTTTCCAGGGACATGGATGAAACTGGAAGCCATCATTCTCATCAAACTGACACAAGAATGGAAAACCAGGCTCATGTCTTTGGTTGTATTTGTTCTTGGTTAGCTGACCCTCCATTTTCTCCATAAGATATATATATATATATATATATATATATATATATATATATATGTTTTTTTTTTTTTTTGAGATGGAGTTTTACTCTTGTTACTCAGGCTGGAGTGCAATAGAGTGATCTCTGCTCACCACAACCTCTGCCTCCTGGGTCCAAGCAATTCTCTTGCCTCAGCCTGCCGAGAGTAGCTGGGACTACAGGCATGTGCCACCATGCCCAGCTAATTTTTGTATTTTTAGTAGAGACAGGGTTTCACCATGTTGACCAGGATGGTCTCGATCTCTTGACCTCGTGATCCACCCGCCTCAGCCTCCCAAAGTGCTGGGATTATAGGCATGAGCCACTGCACCCGGCCCCCATAAGATATTTTTAAATTAATCTCCAAAACTTTGAGAACATGGAAGAATGATTGCAAATTGGCAAAGTGTTACAGCTGTGAAGAAATCAGCATTGCACACAGAGTTGATGGCAGCGAAAGTAGGCACAGACTTCCAGAAGGCTAATGACCAATATGAACAAAAGCCTGATAATAAATACCCTCTGACCCACAATTCCATTTCCCAGAATTTATTCCAAGAAAATAATCGTGAAATATTCCCATGGTTTTGGTCCAGAGATTCTCAATGCAATAATATTTGTGATAGGGAAAAACAACCTGAATGTTCAGCATGGTTTGAAAATAGCTAATAGAAGAAATAAGGCGTATTTTAATGGCTATAAGTTTTTAAGAAAGGTAAAAAAGTGCACCATGATGAATTAAAGGTTGTGATACCTCATCCAAGTGGGAATAGATAGTATATCTGTATAGCTACATGTCTGATTATTATTTAGCCACCAAAAATGGTATTATAGAAAATATATCCATCCATACATATGCATGTATCCACATATGTATTTAAGAGTATATATATTAAATTATTACAAATAGTTGTCTTTGAACCATTTTTTCTTCTTTCTGTTTGTTCATATTTTATAAACTTGCTACAATGAATGTGTTCATTGTATTCACAAATATTCCTCCCCTCAAAAAATAACATTGACTTTTAAAGATTAAGTGAATGAGAATGTATGTAAGTTGCCTCCTCTACCTACCAAGAACTTAAAATTCTATGCAATAATTCAAATTATATTTATAAGAATTATCAGTTTACTATACGAAGTTTTCTAAGCATGGCACCTTTTGTAGGGGGTTATCTTTTATAAAAAATACTTCCACTTCTACTTTTATAGGTCAGTAATTATTTAAATAAGTCAATAGTGGTTATGTGTGTATGTGTATGTAGTCACTTAGCCAATATGTCAACATTATTATCTTATGATAGAACACAGTATTTATTTATCACTTTATTGCCCCTAAGTCCATCATTATTTCATTTTTTCATGCTTTGTCTTTTGTATTTCCTTTTTTCTCTTGTTCTTGATAAATAATGCCAGAAGTGGTATATTTAACCTCTTTAATAACCTACAGGAAAAATAGTCCAGCAGTAGATAAGTACCTTAACAATCTGTGATAAAATCACATGTATCATCCACTTAAAATTATAAGTATGTACACCATTAAAAACATGGATTTTTATGTTCAATATTTATTATGAGCAGAACCCATATCACACACACCTAATTTCAACCAGGTAAAAATGTCTGATTATTAGCAAATACTTTAAGAAAATAACAGTATGGTGATTCCATTTAGAAAATCATTGAATTAGTTGCATTTGGTATTTAAATTCATAGTAAAATAATTCGTAATTTTAAAAAAGCTGTTTTACCACACTCTTCCTTTTCTCAGTTATATCTTGTGAGCCACCTCCAACCATATCCAATGGAGACTTCTACAGCAACAATAGAACTTCTTTTCACAATGGAACAGTGGTAACTTACCAGTGCCACACTGGACCAGATGGAGAACAGCTGTTTGAGCTCGTGGGAGAACAGTCAATATACTGCACCAGCAAAGATGATCAAGTTGGTGTTTGGAGCAGCCCTCCACCTCAGTGTATTTCTATTAATAAATGCACAGCTCCAGAAGTTGAAAATGGAATTAGAGTGACAGGAAATAGGAATTTATATTTCCTCAATGAGATCGTGAGATTTAGATGTCAGGCTGGCTTTGTCATGGTAGGGTTGCCCATCGTGCGGTGCCAGATCAACAACAGATGGGGACCCAAGCTGCCACACTGCTCCAGGGGTGAGTGTGACCCATAAAGGCTTTGCTGGGTGTGAGGGTACCTTTAGATGATAGGAGTTGCTGAAATTAAGGAAATGTGTAAGAACTATGAAGTTGGCATAAACACTCTAAACATAATAGTAGCTTCACTGTTATCTCTGTTAATAATTGCCTGAAAGCAATTGTCTGAAAGTTTCTTTCTTTCATTTATAGTAGCCATATTTTATATGCATTTTAAAATTGAATATTGACAGCAAATATATGAGGTAGCTACTATTTGTATCCCCATTTTACTTCGGGAGAACTGAGTCTTAGTAACGTTAAAGCGCTTTTCCAAGGCTCTGACTCCAGAGCCTAATGATAATCTATGGTCAAATGTATAATGAACAATAATGTGTAATAGTGATGATAATATCTCTATTCCTGGAGTGTGGCAAGTGAGCCATGAGGACCAAAATGAGAGCATCAAATCAAAACGGCCTTGGACTTCAATTCTTTCACATTGTAACTGAAAAGACTAAAGCTCAGAAAAAGTGCTTTGCTCAAATCCAAGCACATATATATATTATATATATCTTTGATATATACTAATTTTTCTTTAAGTATATATGGTTCAGATTAAGGCTCAAATGGATTCTTTGGGGTTTTCTTATTTGTGTGTTTGTTTTTCAGAGACAACTGTACTCCAGCTCTGTTGCCCAGGCTGCAGTACAGTTGTACAATCACAGTTTACCAAAGCCTGTAACTCCTGGGCTCATGTAATCCTCCTGCCTACAGGTACACACAGCCACACCTGGTTAATTTTTATTTATTTTTAGATAGTCTTGCTATGTTGCCCAGGCTGATGTTGAGCTCCTGCCCTCAAGCAGTGCTCCTGCCTCAGCCTCCCAAAGTACTGGGATTACAGGCCCGAGCCACCATGCCTGGTTTTAAATGCATTCTGATGCCCTGAGAACACACCAGTTGTGCTGTGCATGGAGGCGGCCAAAATTTGGGTCAAAATGTGTTCTACGGAATATGTTCTCTCACCAAAAAGTCTGTAGAGTTTTTTTTTCTTTGGGGGGGTTGTTCTTTTTTATTTTTAATTTATTAATTTTTAATATTTGTGAGTACACAGTAGGTATATATATTTCTGGGGTACATGAAATGTTTTGATACAGGTATGCAATGTAAAAATAATCATGGAGAATGAGGTATCCATGCCCTTAAGCATTATCCTTTGTGTTACAAATAATCCAATCACACCCTTTTGTTCTCAAATGTACAATTAAGTTATTACTAACTATAGTCATCCTGTTGTGCTATTAAATACTAGGTCTTACTTATTCATTCTTTTTTTTTATTTTTTGTACCCACTAACTGTTCCCACCTTCCCCCAGCCCCGGGGGATTTTGTTCTTGATGCCCCGTCTTTCCTTTGTTGAAATGACTGGCTTAACATGGAGTGGGAAGAATTAGAACAGGTCCACAGAGACAGAAAGAAAGCTAACAGTTCAACTTTGTGCTGACTGAAAGAGGGACAGAGACGGACAATGAAGACTAGGTGAAGGGGTCTGTTAGACGAGACCTTGGCAATAGTACCCCTTGCAGTTGCCTTATCACTGAGCTTGAAAGACAGCCTCTCGATGAAGTGGAAGAGTGGCCACGCCACCTGCACTCACGACTCTGTGCTGCATAACCAGTGTTGAAAGCAAGAGGAATATGCTACCTTGTAGTCTTAGGAATGTGTTTCAGTAGAAAAAACACAGACAAGGTGTTGGAGAGACCTTGATTGTAGTCACAGCTCCGCTTGGTATCCTGTTTCCTCGTTAGTGAAACGTGACTACTGAACTACTGAGGTTCTCTTTGAATATCTGCGCCCTGCAATGACAGTTTTTATGCTCTCTGGCAAGCATAAGATCTAGCAAAAGAAATTCCCCCATAACTAACAAGTACTCTGGAATTGTCCCTCCCACAGTGTGTCAGCCACCTCCAAAAATTCTGCATGGTGAGCATACCCCAAGTGATCAGGACCACTTTTCACCTGGACAGGAAGTGTTCTACAGCTGTGAGCCGGGCTATGACCTCAGAGGGGCTGCTTCTCTGCACTGCACACCCCAGGGAGACTGGAGCCCTGAAGCCCCCAGATGTGCAGGTGCCTCAACTCTCTGGCTTCCAGATTGCTCTCTGTACCCCTCACATGGAGGTCTAACTCCTATTTTTTTCCTTTTTTTCTAGTGAAATCCTGTGATGACTTCCTGGGCCAACTCCCTCATGGCCATGTGCTGTTTCCACTTAATCTTCAGCTTGGAGCAAAAGTGTCCTTTATTTGTGATGAAGGGTGAGTGTGACCCAGAGTTGAGACCACGGACTCAGTGTGGAGAATGACTCTTCTGAGTTCAGGGGTTAATCCAAAAAAGAAGCTGACCTAGTAGATAAGAATTACCCAGAGAGATTAATTTATGGAAGGGTAGTTTTGAAATAAGGGTAGGAAGTAAGTGGCATCACTTTCAGAAGATGACGAGAAATGGCACATACAACTCTATGTCGGTTACAAACCTAAATATAGTCACTGAACTTGAGTACACGGTTGGAACTTAAAATGAATGGGTACATATTTATTTGGAGGCAAAAGGATATAATTTTATAAAAGTTATGCTAGAAAAAAATTGATAAGTAAGATAAAAAATTGGTTGCCCCATAATAAGGCAAAGGTTGTTTTAGGAAGCTTAAAGCCAGTTGATACTGGAATCTGTAATAGCGTATGGATAAGTATGTTTTAATCCAATTACATATCTTCATGTCAGGAATGGCCAGTGTAATCGTTTTGATGCAGGACTTTTCTCAGCCATTTTGCCAGCCAGTGACCTCCAACCAATGATGCCCCCATCAGGCCTTGCTCGACCTGGGCTCACTGCAGGAGACACCACATCTACTCAACCCACCATGCCATGCCTGGCTTGTGCTCTGACATGGATGGCATGGCTGTCACAACTGCATGATCAGCCCCTGGTGGGAGGGGGTGTGTGAATGAGCGAGTGTGGTGTCTGGCTGGCCACTCTAAGCAATGGCACAGGAGTGGGCTTCACATGGGTTTTGTGGCTGGACCAGGCATGTCACACTGAAGGGAACATGGTAGTGCCCAAACAGGGGTGCCCATGACTGCAAAGCCCCAGAGAGGGTGCTACAGCATGCTAATAGCTCTTAGCATTTGATAATGCCTGCAGCCCAACAGATGTTGGTGTGCTAACAGCTCTGTCAGTCCCATGACCCTGCTCAGGCCTACGTCTCCAGAGTGGGCTTGGCCCACTGCTGCTTCCTGTCACATGGAGCAGCTGCCCTCCTCTAGCAGAGGGTGGAAAGTCACTGTGTTACAGCCTTCTTTGTAACTGCATTTGGTGGGTCCTGAGTTCTTGTCCTGCATCCAAGAAGAATAAGGTTATGCTGACAAAGGATGAGGAGGGTGGAGAAGAACGTTGTTACTGAGCAACAAAACAACTTCTCAGTGGAGAAGAGACACAATTGTGGTCCCCTGGATGAAGTCAGTGGGTCTCTCTCTCTCAGTGTGGCTGGTTCTGGGGCTTTTATGGATTTAGAATGGGGAGTGTGTGCTGAGTGGTTTGTGAGTATGCAAAAAAGGCTAAAACAAAGCCATCACTCAAAGTTGGGCACAACAGTGTAAAAAACAATTTAGAGAAGGGCAGGTATATGTAAAATAGGTGATGGGTGGGGATCAATCAGAGGAAAGCATGCCAAATGGGAAGAGAGGTTCTCCATCCAGTCCATGGGTTTACCTGGAACTTGCAGGTAGGCTTTAAACTGTCTTTGGCTTGAAGGCCAAGTTTCACTGTGGACCTGCCCCTATCTGCTTCAAATTTGTCTGCCTCCTGCTTGTATCAGTTTCAAGTGGTACTATTAGTTGTTTATGTGTATCTATTACTCTTTTTGGTGTGCCCTATGAGTCTGAGGCTAGATTGGACCATTAAGCAGTTAATTTTAATGATTTCCAAGGAATTCTTGGCATTTACAAAGTTTATCACCCAAAAATGATTTCCAATTTCAGAATGATTTCAGATTTCAGAAGAGAAGTGGGATTCAATAATAAGTTGGGCATTTTGGGGCAGCAAAGACTCTTCCCCGATCCTTCTTTATTTCTTAAAGCATGTGGTTCAGCATGCTTCTGTGAGCCTCCTCTGGCTCGTTACAGTTGTTGTGTCAAGAAGAACAATGCCCATTATCTTTCTAGATGTTACTTGCTTGGCTTACCAAATCAAGAGCTGTTCTGCCTCATGACCAACTAAGGAGAATAAGTGAGATGTCAGAGAGCCATCAGTGAAAGATGAAACCTGAAGGTTATGGCTCTGGTGCACTTGGAGAAGTCTGGTTTTGTGTTCATGCATTCTGTAGGTGATGCTGGGCTATGAAGTTTATATGGCAATAATGAACATCAGCTCTAATTGCTTTGCCAGTCACAGGGTACCATGATTCTTTAGAATAAATTGGCCTTTGAGTTTCTGACAGCTACTGAAGAATTCAGATCCCTAATGAACTAAGACTTTTAGCTGGGCCCGAACCTAAGAACCAAGTGCTAGTCAAGGAGGAAATGGTAGTGGGAAGCTGAGCATCTATGAGTGAAGAAATCAAGGAAGAGACGGGAATTGCTCACACATTTGCTACCACTTTTTTTTTTAGGTTTCGATTAGAAGGCAGGTCTGCTAGTCATTGTGTTTTGGCTGGAATGAAAGCCCATTGGAATAGCAGTGTTCCAGTGTGTGAACGTGAGTAGGAAGAACAACTATGCACTTTGGATAGCTCTCCTTATTTTTGTTTTCCAGTGTGTTATTCTGCATGGAATCACCCATTGTATGGATCTTTACTTAACTAAATTGCTGATAAAAATACTCCTTTGTTGGAAGAATTTCAAGAAAGGCCTTATAGGTCTTCTGTGATATGTGTTTTTGTTAGTAATCTGTAAATCACTTAGTTTAATGACAGTGTTTAATTTTGTGGGGAATGTGTGGCCAGAAACTAAATGACATAAGGTGCAGCAAGTTTTATCCAGTCATTGATATTTCAGTTTCCTTATCAAGGAGTAATCTTAAAAATTTTTTTTCTTCTTTGAGACAAGAGGTAACCCAGGACAGAATGCAGTGGTGCAATCACAGCTCACTGCAGCCTCAACTTCCTGGACTCAAGCAATCCTCCCAGCTCAGTCTCTCAGTAGTTGGGACTCCAGGCGCATAGCACCACACCTGGCTATTTTTTGTACTTTCTGTAGAGATGGAGTCTTGTCATTTTGTCCCGGCTGATCTCAAACTCCTGGGCTCAAGCTATCCTCCCACCTTGCGGCTTCCCAAAGTGCTAGAATTACAAGTGTTAGCCACCATGCCCAGCCAAATTTTGATGTTCTTGTATCTTCTCATACATCATAAACAATTTAGTCAGCCTGTTATTTAGCCTGCAGTATTTAATGACATAGGGTTTCGCATGTGCCATGACTTTCCATGTGTAGAAAAAGCAATGAACAGTGAATGAATAGTGAAGACACCTCCCTATTTTCCTGGAGTGTATTTTCTTGTTGGGAAGCAGACTATGAACAAGAAAATAAATAAGTAAATAAAATTCTACAAATTATAACATATAAAATGGTAAATAGGGATATGTTATAGAGAAAATAAAACAGAGTTACATGGTAGATTAGTATAGTGGAAGGAGCTGGGATAATGCATCAGTGTCTAGCATAATGAGATGTCCTACATTTCCAAACCATGTGCTTAAATTAAATATGCCAAAATTATAATACATAAAATGATAGTTAAATAGGGATATGTTGTAGAGAAGATAAAACAGAGTTATATGGTACATTGGTATGGTGGAAGGAGCTAGGATGATGAATCAGTGTCTGAAGTGAAGAGATGTCCTACGTTTCCAAACCATCTGCTTAAATAAAAAATGCCAAAATGCAGAAATTGGTAGATAAAAGTATGTTTTATATACCAAGACATTACTGATTTATCCTATTCTGTCTACTACAGCAAGGCAAGAATTTTTTAAACCTTTTTTTCTTGATGATTGAAAAATGTTTATTTTAATTTGTATTGTTAAAATAACTTATAGAAATTAATTCGGATACCTTATGGGGAGTATTATGGTGAAGAACATTCAATACCTGAGGAAATTCAAGTATTCAATAAATTCAACCTTACAGAGACCCATAGAGCTAAAAATAAATATATAAATAAACTTAGGAAAAACACAAACAAGTAAAATTCAAGCATGAGAATTTAATCATTGTTTGATATGCTAAGTCTTTTATACACACATAATTCTGATATACTTGGGCATCTCTTTCTATATTCATTTAGAAGCATCAGTTGATTTTAGGGAAGGAACTGTTCTAAGCAGACTAAAAGGAGGAAGAAATGATGGCTAAAAATTTGGAAGAAAGAAAAAAAAGGCCCTTTGCCACCATTTAATCTTGGTAAAAAGAGCCTTACCAGTATAGTCTGAGGACATCACTAGATAGTTGATATTGGTACTAATGATAATGGTCTTGAATCACCAGGAAACATTTACATTGCTAAAGATGATAGTACATGTTTATTAAAGTTCATAGATTTCCTTGGAACTTATGGTCTCTGATGGCCCAAACTTTGTCTGTCTTTGACCTCATTGTGAACCCAAGAATCTCTCTATGCCTGATTTAAAGTAGGCAACCAAATGGGTGTTGTTAAAAATAGAAGTAATTACTTTCCAAATTCATCATGAATGTAGCTACCTGGTTGGTCAAGGAACACCATCTTTGGGCTTTTGCAAGAAACCGTAATTTAGGTCTCCCATCAGTTAGTTCCTTCTCAACAAAAGCCTTACAGATTTACATTTCATCCACCTTAGTTATATTCTTTCTAAAAGAAAAACAATTTATTCAGAGCACAGTCACAGGTCACTATGATTTCAGTCATCTATTTGAAACTCTAATAGAACTTAAAGCTCTTGTTTTCTTTCTAGAAATCTTTTGTCCAAATCCTCCAGCTATCCTTAATGGGAGTCACACAGAAACTCCCCTTGGAGATATTCCCTATGGAAAAGAAGTATCTTACACATGCGACCCCCACCCAGACAGAGGGATGACCTTCGACCTCATAGGGGAGAGCACCATCCGCTGCACAAGTGACCCTCAAGGGAATGGGGTTTGGAGCAGCCCCGCCCCTCACTGTGAACTTTCTGCTCCTGCTGGTCAGTATCTGCTTCCACATATCCTAAATGGGTTCAGAATATCTAGGCGACAACCTCTACATTTCTATTGAGACAGTCATTTTTGCTTATGAAAATTTTGCTTTACTATGACTGTCAGAGACAGAACTACATCCCAAGAGAATGACAAATGGGTTCTAGATTGGCAGGCTGTGTTTCAATTGTGGGTATTCTGATGACCCTTCCTATGGGGTGAGGAGTGTGGGATGGTAAGAAGAGAAGAGGGTGGACAGTGAAGAGAATTGGTGAGGTCCAGATTTTGCAGAGAATATTTTCAAAGTACTGAAAACAAATGCTAAAGAAATTTGTTTGATTCTTCCTGTACTACTATGAGTTGTCTGTATCCTGGAGAGATGGATGTGCTGCACAAAAAGTACACGTTGATGATGTAATTTACTTCAGAACCTATAACGCTATAAAGTAATTTAAGAAACTCAGATGTAGGGATTTATACTTTTTATGTTATTTCCAAGTGTTTGTTCAAGGCACTGACCCCTTCACCTCACCATTAAAAAAGGAAACTCAGGAGGCCCTGCAGAAGCAGAGTTTAAGATTATACTCTTGGCCTCCATAGCTCCATTCTTTAATATAGTAGTCTGGCTTTAAACGACAGTACCCGGCAATTGTAGGCGCATTTGTGGCTGTGACTGCCCGCACCAGCTCCATCCTCCTGTAAGGACAGAACAGCACTGAATCAGTAGCTTGTCAATCCCTGTGGTACTCCCCCATATGACACAGTTTGCAGGTAGAGACTGTAGAGGATACTGTTTAAATGCCTTGAGGTTGAGGTTTAGAGAAACCAATCAAATAAAAGTGAGTGGCTTATAACTTGGTTGGCTCAGGTCTTCATGTACCTCTAATAGCCAGAGATATTATTGGATGTGTTGATGTGTTCATATATCTATGTTAAACTGAGTGTTTTTCCTTGTGTTTGTGTGGGAACTTGTTTAGCCTGCCCACATCTACCCAAGATCCAAAACGGGCATTACATTGGAGGACACGTACCTCCATATCTACCTGGTATGATAATCAACTACATTTGTGACCCCGGCTACCTGTTAGTGGGAAAGGCCTTCATTTTCTGTACAGTCCAGGGAACCTGGAGCCAACTGGATCATTATTGCAAAGGTGACTCATTTCTCGGTATTTCTTATTCTTGCTGGGTTATATGGAAAATTGATGCATGAGGCTTGTAAGGCTGAGAGACTATTGAAATGATTATAATGAAAAGGGTAATATTTTGTCTTCTTGGCAGCTTTCATTTCATTTTATTAACTGTTTTCTTTGCATGGTTGATAGCAGTGTTTCTCCATCCAGAGTATTAGCAAAATAAGCTGGAAACCTTGTTAAAAGGACACATCCTCAAACTCCATTCCATAGACTCTGATTCTGTTTTGAAGTGGGGTCAAAAGTCTGTTTTTAACAAAGTCATCAGAATGTTCTGACGTAGAAAGACCACAGACCACACTTTAGGAAATACCACTTTGCCTTCTTGGTTTGTATAGAGGAAAAAAATACTGTAGGCTAATTTTGAGACTATTACAACTGAAAAGAAGTATGTGCTTGAAGATGAAGGACATACTGATGGCTGGGCAGAAAAAGAAAGTAAAACAAATAATGAGTTAAATGGACTAAAGCAAATTAATCAGAAAGATGTATTTTAAATTCAGGCCGGGCACAGTGGTTCAGGCTTGTAATCCCAGCACTTTGGGAGGCCAAGGGCAGATCACCTTAGGTTAGAAATTTGAGACCAGCCTGGACAACGTGGTGAAACCCCATTCCACCAAAATACAAAAATTATCTGGGTGTGGTGGTGCATGCATGTAGTCCCAGCTACTCGAGAGGCTGAAGCAGGAGAATTGGCTGAACCCAGGAGTTGGAGGTTGCAGTGAGCCCAGATAGTACCACTGCATTCTTACCTGGGTGACAGAGCAAGAAAAAGAAAGAAAGGGAGGGGAAGGGAAGGGAGAGGAGGGGAGGGAGATAGGGAGAGGAAGGGAGGGGAGGGGTATTTTCAATTCAGAATCATGATTTACTAACTTCTTTGTTCTATGTGCAGAAATGGGCCAGAATAATGCATTTAATAAAGAGCAGAGTACCAGTATTTGTTGTGAAGCTAGAGTTAACATGGTACTCCCTTTTCCTTACAGCGTGACCCAAGTGGCTCCAGGCCTAGAACACAGTTAGCTTAATTCCTAATCTTACCACAGCTTTCCAGTTGCAGAGTTGTTAATCAAAAGTAGATGCACAGTACATTCCATAGTCTCTTACTTTACATTAAGAAATTGGAGTCAGAAAATGTTAAATTATAAGTTTTTTGGAGGAGTAAGATTAGTAATTCCTGATTAAAAATATGCTTCCTCTTGGCCAAGGCAAAATGGGTTTTGGAGTCATAGAGCCTTCTATCCTGGTAGATAAAACCAACAATCAACAATAAAATATCAGTTTCCTTATGATTTGTCTCATTTCAGAGGTAAATTGTAGCTTCCCACAGTTTATGAATGGAATCCCAAAGAATTTAGAAATGAGAAAAGTGTATCACTATGGAGAATATGTAACTTTGGAGTGTGAAGATGGGTATACTCTGGAAGGCAGTCCCCGGAGCCAGTGCCAGGCGGATGACAGATGGAACCCTCCTCTGGCCATATGTACCTCTCGTAAGTGCAAGTGCAAGGAACGTGGGCCCTTCCCGGTCATGGTTCCCCAGTCATGGTCACATTAACTTGATCCATATTGGCATCGAGTATGGTGTGATATTTACGGTGTATGCTACAAGCTAAGGAGTATGATATGTGCATCCACCTCATCCAAAAATCCCCTAGTGAGAGTAAGGCCAGACTTTCTCGTCTCACACTTCTCACTCCAGCTCTGCACCTTTTTTGTGTATATCACTCTGTGGTTGCATGAGCCACACAGTAATGATTTATTTACAGCCTACAAGCCTTAAAAGAAATGTTTTCAGCATGAGTTAGGGAGCACCTTCCAAACTGCAGAGAGCAGCCAGCCTGTCTCACACCATTATAGGCGACAGGATTTTAAGCTAGCACCGCTGGATAGAGCAGATTCAGAAATCTTGTATCATTGAGCTCTGTAACATGTGTCATTGAGCCCACTGCTGGCAACTGGAGGGTACTGTAAGATAGAAAATTCTACCCACATCAAGGAACAGATGAGCAAAATTAATAATGAATAGCTTTTTTTTTTTTTTTGAGACGGAGTTTCCCTTTTGTTACCCAGGCTGGAGTGCAATGGCGCGATCTCGGCTCACCGCAACCTCCACCTCCTGGGTTCAGGCAATTCTCCTGCCTCAGCCTCCTGAGTAGCTGGGATTACAGGCATGCACCACCATGCCCAGCTAATTTTTTGTATTTTTAGTAGAGACGGGGTTTCACCATGTTGACCAGGATGGTCTCGATCTCTTGACCTCATGATCCACCCACCTCGGCCTCCCAAAGTGCTGGGATTACAGGCGTGAGCCACCGCACCCGGCCTGAACAGCCTTTCTTAATCTGAATTACTGCTATACTTTCTCCTCTCCCCCTCTCTTATGACTCTTCTAATACATGGTTCTACACTAAGATTGTTCAAGATCCATTTTTACATTTAATCCTGTAAATGTGCTAACCAATATGGCTCGCAGATAATATTTCTCAATTATCAGCTTGACATTTCCTTAAAATCAAATTATATTCACTTTTTTGGCAAAAATCTCACTGGATAACTTACTAACTGGATTTAGAGTATTCTGAAACTCTGGCTGGGACTGACAGAAAATTCAGGTGGTTGGAGAACTAACCCTATCAAATATTAGAACAAAACACAAGCCAATAATACAAAAATTACTTGGCACCAGCACAAGAAGAAACATGTAAACAAGTGGGACAAAACTGATATTAATAAAATAAAGGGGCAGGATATGGTGGCTCATACCTGTAATCCCAGCACTTTTGGGAGGCTGAGGCAGATGGATCTCCTGAGGTCAAGAGCTCGAGACCAACCTGGCCAACATTGGTGAAACCCCTTTCTACTAAAAAAATACAAAAACTAGGCAGGCATGGTGACAGGTGCCTGTAATCCTCTCAGTTACTAGGGAGGCTGAGGCAGGAGAATCTCTTGAATGGGGGAAGTAGAGGTTGCAGTGAGCCGAGATTGTGCCATTGCACTCCAGTCTGGGCAACAAGAACAAAACATTGTTTTTTAATTGTCAATTAAATTAACAACAAAACGGTTTTTAGGTGAACACCCAATAAAAATCAAGGATGTGATGAAATGGATATTGTTGTGTGTTGAAGGTGCTGTTGTAAATTTGCAAAAACTCTAATGAAAAACAATTATGCAATATATGTGGACAATAATACAACGATTCCTGCCAGTCAGCCCTCCTAGAAATCTAATCTAAGGAAATGATGTATTATATAAAAATATTTTGTGCATTTTCTTAAGGGTTTCATGGAAAACTAGAAGCAACTGAAATGCACAATCGAAGTAACTGAATACACTCTGATGCATCTACTAGATTATACTACTTTGCCTTTATTGCAACTTATTTTTCTACTATATAATTATCTGAAAACACACATATGAGAAAATGCACCAAACAAAATGTATGAAAACATTTTTTGGGTACTAGGATTTAGGGTGACTTTTTTTCTTTAGTTCTGTACTATAAATTTTCTTCTGTAATTGTATTAAATTTTTAAAAGACTTCTCTGAGTGCAGAAGGTAAAATGAGAGTATGTGAATGAAACCAATGGCTTTTTGCATTAAAAAAAGTATTAGACTGAGTGCTGAAGAAAATTCAGGATGACTTGTCACTGGCTGAGAGGCCTGTTCATTCATGTTGCATACCAGTGATGTTTTTGTGGCTTTTATCTTCCTTTTAGGTGAATATAATGTTCCCATAGCTGGTAAGTTTTATAAAGGGTTTGCTGAGGAATTCTGACATCTTTAACAGTGAGTACTTACCTATAATAAATGAAATGTAAAAAGAGAGATCAAAATATCTTGAGTTGTAAATTCAACTAGAAAGAAAATAACGACGAGTTTAGGCCAGGATATGGTGAAACTAGCGTCGTCATATGCAGACTGAGTAACCTTCATCAAAGGTTCTTACTGTCTTTGAACCATTACAAATCAATAGTCATTCATCAGTGTCAAAAATTCTTTATTTGAATGTAGTAGGAGAATGCAACTTCTTTGGGTTGTAACCTGGAGTATGCTTCCAAATGGTGATCATGCCCATTCGCACATATAGCCACAGACCAGTCTTCTGAGCCCATATCTGTGATCTGCCTGTATCAGAATAACAGTTTTGTAATAGAGTTTGTTTCCAAGGGAATCTCTGTGGCATAGTATTCTTACATCCCTTTTTATACATGTGGACACTGAGACACAGAGGTTTACGTAACTTGCCCAAGACCACAGAATGGGGTAGCCTGGGTCTAACCAGGCAATCTCTACATATCTGTGGAGACTGTGCACTTCAACAATCAATAAATGGACAAAGGACCTCAATATATAACTCAACAAGAGAGAAAATTCCCGTATTGTCATAATGAAATGCCTGTGTGTTAAGTCTTAGGCAAGAGACATGGGCAGGGCAATGGAGAGCTGGTGGGCAGCTGCACCATCCTGGTTCTCACTTACTTGTGGAAAGGCTGATGTTGGACTAAAGGTTACAAAACAGCTCAGCTCACCCCTTAACTATAATAACTCTGGGAGTAAGACTAATGCTACAGAAACCCAGAGCAAAGCAGAATGTATAGTTACACCTTAAAAAGAAAAAGTGTTGGCAATCTGTAGTGAGAATGAATACTAAGATAGGGTTTAAAACCTATGAGTTACAGTCTTCATGCATTTAATTATCTTGTTTTATTGCCTAGGCACTTTATCTGGGACAATCTTCCTTATTTTTCTCACCATTGTCGTCTCTTGTATAATTATAAAGTGCAGAAAAGGGTAAGTATACCCATATTATTCCAAGAAATGTAAACTGTACTTACCCCCTCTTGGAAGTCAAAAGAAAGTAAAAGACAAACAAACCCCTTGCTACATAAATGGATGTGGTAATTCTTATAAAGCCCTTGACAAACAGTCTAGACAAAGAGGTATTCACACTAAAGGCAATATATAGGATAATAAAAACAATTGTTTAAAAAACCAGCATTTTGGCCAGGTATGGTGACTCATGCCCATAATTTCAGCATGTTGAGAGGCCAAGGTGGGCAGATCACTTGAGGCCAGGAGTTTGAGACCAGCCTGGGCAATGTCATAAAACCCCATCTCTACTAAACATACAAAAAATTTGCCTGATAAGTTGGCACATGCCTGTAATCCCAGCAACTTTGGAGGCAGAAGCATGAGAATTGCTTGAACCTGGGAGGTGGAGGTTGTTGTGAATCAAGATTCTGCCACTGCACTCCAGCCTGGGCAACAGAGTGAGACTCCATCTCGAAACACACACACACACACACACACACACACACACACACACACACATACACACACACACAAACACACACAGCATTTTAAAAAGGAATTGAGTTTTACAAAAAGTAGGCAGAAGGAGTTTTTAAAAAGGTGTTCATCAGGTTGTTGATATCCTAGTTTTACTAAGACATTGCAGACACTGACCTCTAAGCCCAGATCCTATCATAGCGCTAGAAGTTAGATTGGCTCTCTTATGGCACAGAGATCATATGGCATACATAGGCTGCCAGTGGGGAAGAATTGAGACTTTCCCTTGGATATTTTAATATATAAACAAATATTTTGTAAACACCATTAACTGCTTTTTTTTTTTTTTTTTTTTTTTTTTTTTTTTTTTTTTGAGACAGAGTATCTCTCTGTCACCCAGGCTGGAGTGCAGTGGTGTGATCTCAGCTCACTGCAATCTCTGCCTCCCAGGTTCAAGAGATTCTCATGCCTCTGCCTCCCAAGTAGCACAGACTACAGGCATGTGCCACTGCGCCTGGCCAATTTTTGTATATTTAGTAGAGACAGGGTTTTGCCATATTGGCCAGGCTAGTCTCAAACTCCTGACCTCAAGTGATCGCTCGTCACAGCCTCCCAAAGTGCTGAGATTACAGGTGTGAACCACTGTGCCTGGCCACCATTAACTTTTTAAACAACAACAAAAAAAACTTCCAAAGATTATGAACTGAATCTAAAAAAGTGTCATTGACAGGGAAGAGTACACAGCTTTTGTACTGGTTGATTGAATTATAACATCAGTGAGGCCAGAATCAATAATATCAATGTTATAAGGTTGATGAGCAAATTCTATACCCATTAAAAACTGAATTTGTAACTTTTATGTGAGGAATTTTCTATAGAAAATAATCTAAAAAGTGCAGTTTCCTATAACAAGATTTACAAAAATTGAAGTTTTGGTATTTCACAATGATGCCAATACACTTTTTAAAAAGTAGCTTGTCATAGCAGATCTTGCTGTAAACAATCTATACAATTTCATGGGAAATACTGAATTAGTCAAGATTAAAATTTTCCTCCTTCCTAACTAATGTTCTCTATATGTTATGGCTTGACATATAAATATTCTTTGCTCTTTTTCATTACAAAAAGAAAAGGTAAGTAGTTGGGTGCTTTACCTTAACAAAGTATGTGTGTCAATACATTTTTCTTCTTAAAGTTTCTCATTAAATACCACTATAATTTGTGAGTTAGTTTGAAAAAAATTACTAAGTCTGAATTAAATAAGTGGGGGCTTCTAATTTTCAGTATCTATGCCAGTCTCTAGTTAAAACCATAAAGGGAAAATGATTATTTCTTCCTCTTGAAAATATTCAAGATACCTTAATATCTTGAAGATATTTGAATATCTCCACCCTTCTAACTAGGTCTTGCTAATCAACTAGAGGGTCAGATTCCCAAGCCTAACTATTGATTTGTTTGACACACATAATTTAAGATCATTTCCTCATATTAATCATCTTCAGGTATAAACATGACTCAATAACCATTTCATAAAATTATTTATTTAGAAATTAGTATCTTGTATAATGTAAGCAACCTCAGAGCATATACTATTTCTTTATGTGTTCATCCTGTAAAACATGCCTAATTTTTTCATATTCTTTTAAAGTGTAATGTCCATGGCACAACCATTCTCTCTCTGATCAGGGTACTAGGGATACGGCAGAAAGAAAGATCATGATCCTTGTTAGACTTAAAGGTCAGGGAGGCAAACCTCTCAAACATCTATGTAACCCAAACTAAAACCTATTCTATATGTGTAATCCAGGAAAAATTTTAAACATTTCCTAAACTTTCATTTTGGGCCTGTTTCACTTCTTGGGATTGTAACTGTCTGACAGCTTCTTCCTGCCTGTTGTACAGATAAAATCAATTCACTGAGATCATGGTACATTGCAGTAAAGAAAGAGTTGAATTAACAAAGGCCAGCCACATGGAAGAACTGGAGTTATCACTCAACTCAGTCACCCCAAGAACACAGAGGCTAGGGTTTTTACAGAGAATCTGGTAGGAAGGGAGCTAGGGAAAGGGTACTACTGATTGGTTGGGGATGGGGGTGTGGGAAACAGTCCTCATGTGCTGTGTCCACCTCTAGGTAGAAGCCACAGGACCAGCTGAGTCATGAGTCACGGTCCAGGTAGAGTCAGTCAGTTGCCAAATGCAAAAATCTGAAAAACATCTCAGAAGACCACTCGAACACTCTACAATAGTGATGTTATCTATAGGAGCAATTAGGGAAGTCACAAATCTTCTGACCTCTGGCCACCTGACTCCTGATGAGCAGTAATGGATTACAAAAACTATGCCTGTATTTTAGCAGAGTTCAGGTCCCTCTCATAATCCTAATCTTTTGGCCTTTCGTAAGTTTTCAGGCCCTGAGCAAGGAGGGAGCTACTTTTAGGTAGAGACTATTATTAACCTTGCTCCAAAGTTAAACTATAAACTAAATTCCTTTCATGGTTACCTTGGCCTACATCCAGGAATGAGTGAAGTCAACCCAACTGTGAGGCTTGAAGCAAGATGGAGTCAGCCATGTTAGATTTCTTTCATTCTCATAATCTTTGCAAAGGTGGTTTCAGAATAGTGAGCGCATTAGTATAACCAAACACCATTGATTTTCATGTTAGAAATAACACATAGCTAAAATTAGGAAGAAAAGGTAATAAACTTAAATAATCAGAAGGCAGAGGTGCCTTAACTTGAAAGGAGTTGGGCTGATTAATCAATCATGCAGTCATACCTCCTTGAGTGGGTGTGGCCAATAGCTAAGTCTTGTGGCTACGTGAGGAGGGCTGATTATTCCTTATCTGGAGCTCAAGCTTTCCTCACAGAAAGACAAGGGCATAAACGGCCTCACAGTAAAGAAGAAGGAAGCTTGTGAGAAACACAGAATATAAGTGAAGAGTACCGTAGTGGTCATCAAGTCAGAAGAGCCGTTTATCCTGGAGCTAAAAAAGACTGACAGCGATAGAACAGTGTAGAACAAGATGGCCTGCTCTGTGGGAAAGCCACAATCATACCAGGCCTGGATAGGTGCAGGCTGAAACCTTCCTCAAACACTGGAGACAATTCAGAAACTGCATAATCAGTCTGAAGACTTACTAAGCAACTAAAATGGGGCAGAAATAGAAGGAATACACACACAGAAATCATCACACCTTCGTTAAAATGCTCCTCAAGGAGGCCTACTTTATCCTAGTAAAGATGGTATCACTCTCATCCCCACATTCCCGATCTCTCTTATCCTGCTTTATTTTTTTTTTTTGTAGACTTATCTTCTTTTATTCCAATCAATTAAATGATTAAATTCCCTGTTTATTGTCTCTCTCCCTCCGTGAAGTCAGGGATTTTTGCCCAATGGATACAACGGATTTTCATCAATGGATACACAACAAATCTAAACTGTCCCTGGAACAAAGAGATTCTCAAAATATTTATTAAATGAAAGAGTGAGCTAAACACCACTAAGTGTGTTACCACAAGGGGAAATTTCTGCCGTAATTCTCTACCAAGTTACATAGTGCATCTTTGACTTGTCCTAAACTTACTTCAGGTCTCAAGGCTGCTCCTTGTTCTCATATACCAACTGTCTCAGTCTCTTGGTATATATAGTTGGGCAGCTGTAACAAAAACTCCGTAGACTGGGCAGTTTGAATAAGCATTTAAGCAGGGCGTAGTGTAGCCTCCCAGCTACTCCAGAGGCTGAAGCAGGAGTACTGCTTGAACCATGTGTTTAAGGCCAGCCTGGGCAATATGGCAAGACTCTGTCTCTTAAAAACATTATCTAATTTCTAAAAACCAAGCATTTATTCCTCATAGTTCTGGTGGGTAAAAAGTCCAAGATCAAGGCAACTGCAAATTCAGTGTCTGGTGGGGCTCGCTCTCTAGTTAATAGACTTCAGTCTCTTCTCTGTGTCCTCATATCAGAGAAAAGAAGTGAGGGAGCTCTCGGGGGTCCCTTTTCTAAGGGCACTAGTCCCATTCACAAGGGCTCTATCCTCATGATCTCATGATTTCTCAAAGGTCCCACCTTTTGAGATCCTATAGTAATTAGATCCTATAAATTTTCAACATATAAATTCTGAAGGATTCAAACATTCAGTCCATTGTACCACCACTGAATTTGGTAAGCACATGTGCTTAAATGATATCACACTTGTTGACTTCGTGTGCCTTCTCAGCCCTCAGCTTTCCCTGATTAAGAATACCTAATTGCTCTGCCCATTTCCTCTGCACCCTCCACCTTGGCCTCTCCACTCTCTATTACCACTCTCTCTTGCCTTCTTGGTCCCTACTATACTCCTCACCATCCCTGCTCCCTGAACTATGAGCCCCTGTGAGCAGGGACTATTTTTAAATCTCTACTTGTACAGTAGTCAAGATTAATAATAAGAGTGGCAATGGTTAATGTATTTATGAAAACAGTTAACATGTTTATTTTATAGGTTTATTTACCATTTATTATGTTCTTTGGTTCTCAAAGCAAACCTGTGAGGTAGGTAGGCCCAATAAAATTGTTATCCCAAAGCAGAGGAGACTCCAGGTGCAGAGAAATTCAGTGGCTTGTTTAAAACCAGTAGGAAGTTGGCCGGGCGCGGTGGCTCAAGCCTGTAATCCCAGTACTTTGGGAGGCCGAGGCGGGTGGATCACGAGGTCAAGCGATCGAGACCATCCTGGTCAACATGGTGAAACCCCGTCTCTACTAAAAATACAAAAAAAAATTAGCTGGGCATGGTGGCACGTGCCTGTAGTCCCAGCTACTAGGGAGGCTGAGGCAGGAGAATTGCTTGAACCCAGGAGGCGGAGGTTGTGGTGAGCCGAGATCGTGCCATTGCACTCCAGCCTGGGTAACAAGAGCGAAACCCCATCTCAAAAAAACAAACAAACAAACAAACAAAACAGTAGGAAGTTGTTAGGAATTAGGCCTTTAGTCCAGATTATTTAATTCAAAATCTTAAACTCTTCATGCTGGTATTTTGACAATGTTGATTGTCATTTCTGAATCTGATTCTATGTTACTGAAATTCAATATCCAGAAATGTATATAGTTCAAACTTATTTTCCTCTTTTCTTTCAATATTCTTTTTCTCCCAATAATCTTTTTGTTCCTATATTTTACTCAATTTGTTTTAGCTACTCTGGTATATTGAACCAGTATTTTTCTAGAGAACAGTATATAATCTCTCACTTTTTTATTCTATATTCTGAGTTATTAGGCAACAAAAAATTAAAGTATTTCTTTAAGGGCATCTTTCCATATTGGTATTTCCTGCCCTATCACACAGACTTGGCAAGTTCTTCTTGTGATTTAATCTCACTGGCTTGGTATTTCACTACTTAAAAAAATGCTGTCTGCACGTTTTGATATTTCACTGTGTATTTACAACAACAGTAGTTTGTGATAAATGTTAAATAAGATAGGTCATGCACCGATCACTGAGGAATAATACCGGTTAGACCTTTTCATTTCACAGCCTATTACTGCCTCTTGTTACGGCCTCATACCCACTCCCATTTCTACACAAAACAGCCTTGTCCACAGTCAAAATTTCAAAGTTTCCATTGTTGTGATGCTTAGAGTGACAAAACTCTTAAGGCCATCCTCTGTAAAGGCTCCTTGAATTTTCCTATTGTTCACATTAACCACCAATTAACGTAGCTCTTCATTCAACACATACTCATTGAGATCATATTCTCCCAAACCCCAAGTACCACTCATCACCCAAGACCACTTTCAGAATATTACTCATCTTACCACTTGATCACCACTCCTTGGAAGTTCACACTACCTGGCTATATACCCCTCCACTCCTCCTCACCCATGGATCTCAAGTGTGCCTTCCCTATCCTGTGAAAACTCTGGCCGCTGAAGCAGTGTGCCTCTTTGTCTCAAATGATACTGTTATTCTAATTTCCATGAGAGGGTAAAGAGTAACTGAGTGATGAAGAAACAGTGATAAGTATTGAAGTGAGTTAACTTCAAGCTTCCATTCTTAAATCCCTAATACAACTCATACATAAAATCTGCAGGTACTGGTACTGTTTCATCATTTTATCAATAAAAGATGAAGTGTTTATTAACCCCCAAAGAGGCAGTGCACCATACCAAGTGAGAGCGAGGGCTTTGCAACCACTGAGGCCCACGTTCACAGTCACTCACTTTCCGTGAGACCCTGAGCAAAGATACTTATCCTCAGTAAACTTCATTTACCTTGCCTGTAAAATGGAGATAATAGTTCTTACCTTACTTAACAAAGTGCCTCACTTATGAAGCATGCCGGAAACTGTTAGCTATTATTTATACATGATTGTTATTACTGATATTAAAAAGTGAGTAAATATTTCTTTTTACTGTCAGTTCTTTTTCTGAGACAGCTATTGCTGCCCAGGCTGGAATGCAATGGCAAGATCTCGGCTCATTGCAACCTCTGCCTCCCGGGTTCCAGCAATTCTCCTGCCTCAGCCTCCCAAGTAGCTGGGATTACAGGCATATGCCACCACCCCAGCTACTTTCTTTATTTTTAGTTGAGACAGGGTTTCACCATCTCAGCCAGTCTGGTCTCGAACTCCTGACCTCAGGTGATCCACCTGTCTCGGCCTCCCAAAGTGCTGGGATTACAGACGTGAGCCATCATGCTCGGCTCACTGTCAGTTCTTAAATACCTTCATGATAGCTACTGCTGCTCCCCTAACTGTGAGTATTGCTTGTACAGAAAACAGAACATGTATCTTCACTATAGGAGAAAAGGGAAGCTTCATGTAACATTTCAATGCAAAGTCATTTATGTTGAGCAGCTTAAGTGTCAGAATCTCAATGTAAACACTATCTGCTAATTAAAATTATGTCAGAAATAGTAAAATGTGTTAAGGCATGGACATCTGCCTATAAACAACTTAGAGTATTCTGACACAAAATATAAGTTGGTTTTAGTATTATTTTCTAATCTAAGTTTTTGCTTAGTATTAAAAGATGAGATATGGTTATGATTTTCCTTTCAGACATCTTGCAAAGGTATCAGGAACTTAAGGCAAATTATACCTTACATTTCAAAATGCAAAGTACTAATTTGTTTCAAAACAGAAACTTAAACAATTAAGACAGGTTTTCTGTTTTTTTTTTTTCCTCTGCCAATTAGAAATAATACACGTGACAAACCTAAAGAAGTTGCCCTCCATTTACATTCTCAAGGAGGCAGAGGAGTTCATCCCCAAACTCTGCAAACAAATGAAGAAAATAGCAGAATTCAAAATGTTTTCAACAACTCAAATATTAAAAGTGGAAACAGGATTTGAATATGATATTGCGCTAGGTAAGTCATTGATGCCGAAGAAGTTAGGAAGTACTTCAGGAGCTGGAAGCTTCTTTTTTTTTTTTTTTATTGGATTATTATTGCCATTTCCACTGATTTAGGGTGATGACTCTAAGTCTATGCAGTCACAGTCCTCACTTTTCCAAAGCATTCCTATAATTTCGTGTATTTATGCTATGGAACTTTGAGAAGTAATATGTTTTTCTTCTTCTTGTGGAACCCAAGCACTAATTGGCTGCTTATGTATACCTCCAAGTCTTCCAGCTTCTCTTAAGTGCACAGTCACTTCAATGTCCTCTGGAGACTTTCACTTTACCTCCCCAGCCTCCGACTCCCTTGATTTCTGACCTTCACTGAATTCTCTACTTCATTTGGCCTCTTATGACTGCTCCTTCTTTCACTCTTCATTCAGCTGGGTTTTTTTTTGTTTTTTTGTTTTTTTGTTTTTTTTGAGATGGTGTTTTGCTCTGTCACCAGGCTGGAGTGCAGCGGCACGATCTCGGCTCACTGCAACCTCCACCTTCCAGGTTCAAGCAATTCTCCGGCCTTAGCCTCCTAAGTAGCTGGGACTACAGGTGTGCGCCACCACGCTCAGCTAATTTTTGTATTTTTAGTAGAGACGGGGTTTCACCATGTTAGCCAGAATGGTCTCAATTTCTTGACCTCATGATCCGCCCGCCTCGGCCTCCCAAATTGCTGGGATGACAGGCGTCAGTTGGGCTTATTAAATGCCTAGCCTTTCATTCTACCTACTCAAAGCAGGCTTACTGCAAGCTGTTGTGTAGTACATAGCTTAAGGTTTGGGGTGAAAAGGGAAATTATACCATAAAAAGTAGCATATATCAATATTAGAAATCACTGAACTAAAAAGTAACTAGTATAGCAGGGACCTGAAAACTACCACCTGTGAGCCAATTCCAGTTTTACTGGGGCACAGCCACACCCATTCATTTGTCTACTGTTTCTGGCTTCCTTTTATACTGTAACAGCAGAGCTGAGTAGTTGCAACAGAGACCCCAAAAGACAAAAACGTTTACTATCTGGCCTTTTAGTGGAAGACTTTGCTAACCCCTGAACTATATCTTACTATGAGAAATTTCTCACTGGCTACTTCCCCTTTTAGCCTGAGCTTTCCATCCTCTTCCCAGGCCTCTCTGATATTCTTCTCTTTGTTCAAATCTTTACTGCATTCTCAGGGTATGCAGTAAATACTGGCATTTAGACTCTTGGGCTTCTTGCAAATTCAAAACTCCATTTTTCTTTAACATATAGAGCAATTTATTTGGCTCTGGCTTACTTTGACTACACCCAGGAATCCTAAAATGTCCTATCCATAGGTGTTAGGGGCATTTTCAGGAACAAGATCATCATGTGCCCTAGAACAGAATTAGACCCGTCCTGTAGAAAGCAGAAGCAAAAGCATCAAAGTCATTACTAAATTTCCTTTCTTTATGTCCTACCTCTTTCTCATATACATGTGTATTAAGCTCAACCTGGCATGTTACATCTACGCACATCAGAAATCCTAATTGCAACAGATGACAGTGGAAGGGGCCACAAGAAAAGGAAAGGAAGTGGGAAAGGTATTTTATGGTTAACGAAAATATAAGTAGAAGCAATTCAAAGTTTTCTAAACACAAAGTTACAGATTACATCCTATTTTCTCCTATAATAGACATGAATTTGCAATGTCCTGTTTCTTATCTGTCTTCCTAGTCACTTTGCTTCCAGCTTATTTGTCATTACTGTTTAAAAACAAATGAAATATACATTGTTTCTTTTTTTAAATTCAGAATTGATATTTTACTTTTTGAAGCTTTAGTGTTGGTCTAGCCTGATCCTTCTCAAAAGAGCACACGCTGGGGGATACATGGCTAATGTACCAAGGGGATGTAAAAATCGTAAGATGAAAATGGCATGCTTTCCTAGAAAATATATTTTGTTAATGTTAATCCAGTAGTTCAAAGTAAAAATAGTATTATTTCAACACTAACACAGACACATTTACAAGGGAACAAACAACAAATAAATAATGCAGGAAGCTTAAGATAAAAGAAGACAGAAAATATTGTGCTCTCAGGAATGCTTTAAGTTATGTCTTCAAAGTTCTTGGGTGAGGCATTCATTTTCCTTTACTATCAGAGTGCTGGGGGAAAAGCCAGGTGGAACTGATTCAGGGCTAGCTGCTCAGGCACTAATTTACAAACAGACAAAAGAACTGCAGACTGTAAGAACAACAATGACTTTTACGAGACTTTTAAAAAACATTCCACAATGCTAAATTATTTGATTTAGCCTTATTTCTGTCAGATTACCCACCTGTAACACTTTTCCACCTTTCTTTCTTTCTAAATTCTCTTACCCAGCTCAGAATTCACACAATCAAGATGCTCTCCCAAACAACTCTAGTTCAAAATGATGCCTCTCTTTGAAACTCACATTTCATGACTACACCATTTAAAAAATAAACAATTTTAAGAGTGACATATCATCATTACTAAAAACAAGAAATAGGGAAAAATATAAAATATGTAAAAGTTATCTGCAATAACCTCTACTTAGTAGTATTCTTAAGCTTCTTTGCATATTATTTTACATTTGCACGTACACCTTGAGATTATATTGATTGTACAATATTGAATCCTGCTTTTTTCACCAAATGGCAAACATTTCTCCCATCATTATAACAGTACATAATCTATAGTCATTGGCATTTGATGTGTTGCTTTTTGCCTGTTAATGCTATTGCATTCATTTACTTGCTCATTCACTCTTCAAATTCTTAGCCATTTACAATATACCATACATTGTGCTTATGTGTGTTTTCTTTACCATGCTAAATTACCTTCTGATTAATAGAGACAATGTTTTTTTAAATCTCCCCAAATCTCTGAGTATAGATAATCAAATGAGAAATGTTCAGTAATCAATTGAGCATGTTAATCAATTGAGAAATGAATTTATGAAAATTTCATTTATCCTCATCTTTTTGAAAATATTCTTTTACATCAGAGTACACCTCAAGTTGTGTGCCCTGACTACTGATCACATTTTAGTAGGTAGAAAGTCCTTAAAAATTTTGTTTCAACTTTCCCTTTAAGATTGGAATTTGGACCACAGTGTTCCACCGGAACAAAGTGAATCACCTGTGTCAAAATACAGTAGACAAGATGTGAGTTAGAATCTGTGCCAAGCGTTAAGACCTGTGCACCCAGCTTCTGGGGCAGAGTAAAGAGGCAGGCTCAAAGTCATAGCTGTGTTTTGGACATGAGAGTGTTTGGAGAAATACTGGTAGCAGGTGATGCTGGGAAGTCCTATGAAATGGAATGAGAATGATGATGAAGAATCTGGTGGCAGTAATAACTGAGGAGCTGGAGGGCCTCATCAGGAGGTCTGTCCATTGGTGGAAGGATACCATTCCTGGCCTTAAAAGGAGAGGCTCCTGTGTGACTGGGGAAGCACTTGTACCAAATCCACTACTGTAGCTCATTCTTGACTGTAAGTAGAAGAGAAGGACATGCTTTCTGAGGATGACACCTCCAAGATGACCAGTTCCTATTTCTGCCCCGGCTACCACCATGGTTTAGAGCAAGTGACTCAAAAAACACTTGTGGTGTTATGAGTGACCTGTACATTTTCTAGAATGGAATAAGGCTCCTTATTTATTTAGTAGCACTACTCTGAGAACATTTTTTCTTTGGACAAAATTTAAAAGGGAAAAGTCAAGTTACTCATCAATCTCTCTCTTATCCCTCAGTGTCTCCATTTACACCATACTTTCTTGTGCCCTACATAGCAGTCATCACAGAGGGCAATAAACATCTCTAATAACCTTGTAATTTATATGGAATGCTAGCATTGTGATTATCAGTCTATAAAGTCTGGGTAATTCAATTGTCGACCATACTGTTAACTAAATGAAAACATCCTGTTATTTCAGTGAACGTTTTTTGACAAAGTACCGTAAAGATGAAGAACATCTCGAATAAAATTTTGGTTGGAAAGGAGCCAATTGATTTCAACAGAATAAGATCTGAGCTTCATAAAGTCTTTGAAGTGACTTCACAGAGACACAGACATGTGCACTTGAAGATACTGCCGCTTCCCCAGGACCTAGCAAAGCTCCTCCCTCTCTGTGTGCATCACTGTGAAACCCTCACCCTTCTGCCTCGTGCTAAAAGCACATACTGTCTACTCAGGGGAAAAGACTGCATTTAGGATTAGAAAATAGTTTGGATTACTTAAAGGAATAATATGTTGCCTGGAATTTCTGGTTTATATGCTGGTCGTTTTTCTTTTTAAAAATATTTATAATATAGAATGAGCTCATTAAGGAGAGCTTGGAAAATGAAGAGTTATGAAAAATAAGTAAGTCACATATAATTATGCTACCTAGAGATAACCACTCCTAATATTTTGATTCATTTTCTGCCTATCTTTTTTCACAAAAAATATGTGCTTGTTTGCACGCATACTTCCCCCCCTCAGTTTCCTTTTATTTTATAGAACATAAACCTATTCTTTTAAACAGCTTGGAGTGAAATATATGCAACATATTTTCTCTAGGGAGAAAAATTAATTTACTAAAAAGACATTAAGTGATTATGGGAAGAGTGATTAAGACTACTCAAGAGAAATATTTGGAAAATAAGCTTTGGGTATTTTCTAAGCTTTATTTCAAAAGTACTTTGTACTATGTTCTATATAAAAATATACTAAAAATGGAAATGAAAGAATAATTGTAATTATAAATGTAACTAGCTTACTTTTGTATGGATTCAGAATGTACTAAATTAACTTTTAAAAGCACAACTTTTAAAAAATTTATCGAAATAATAACCATCTTCTGACAGTTTTAAAAGAACGGACACTGTGCTCTTTAGTCCACATCTTTAGAGATCAAAAATTTGTTATGATATTATGGGCCATGCTAATGACCTCTAGAAAACATCAGAATATTTCTAGATACTGACTAATAGCTTTATATATGACTGCTACTCACTTCTGTGTAATTCTTTTTAATAGTTGCTTTAAAGGTGAATTCTGCCACATTTACTTTGACAGCAATATAAGAAGCGAAAGAGACATGAACCTGAATTTCAATTTAAAATTAAACCAGAATAAGAAAACTCCACTGATAAACTGCAAGAAAAAAATGCAACTTACATCACAAAGAATTAATGCTTTATTATTTAGAGAGTACTGAAAAATTCAAAGACCAAACTTCTCTCCACCCCACAAGAATGGGCAAAGGACATACAGCTAGGTCACCAAGAAAGAAGGGCAAGTAACCAGTGAATATATGTAAAGATACTTGATAAGATTTTGCTTAGTTGGATCTTTAGAAAATCTCTTATTTCTTGGGATTTTGAATAAGTAACTTTTAAAGGAGGACTAGAAACTAAATGCTTGGGAATTAATCTTTTTTAGAATTAAAATTCCCCATCACAAGAAAAAAAATCCTGTGTTCTTGTTTTTTGTTTTTTGGGTTTTTTTTTTTTTTTTTTTTTTTTTTTTTTTGGTCCAGAATGGAGTAGGTCAGTGAGCAATGGGATTAATGAAATGCCTGTGACTTTTGTTTTGTTTTGTTTTGGAGACAGGGTCTTACTCTGTCACCCAGGATGGAGTGCAGTGGTGCTATCTAAGCACACTGCAACCTCATCTGTAACTTTTTAATTGCAAGAAAACCACAAGATTTTTTTTCCATTACGTCAGTTATAATGCGATATATTGTATATGCTATGAGAAAAATACTATATTACCTAACTTGTATTATTAAGCAATTCTGCAGACTTTGACTTTATATCTTCATCTGAAAAGCAGGGGCTGGATACCAATTGCTCTCTGAAGCTATTCCTAGTCCTGACGTTCTTTGTTTTGTTTGCTTTCTTGGTACACTTAAGTGTGTAGTGTAAAGTTTATGATGATTAAATGAAACTTGCTGTCTCTACCCTTTTAATGAGAAAAGAATAAAATATTTTATTTTGCAAATCTACTTAAGGAATATAGTTTGTAATATGCTTATGGCTTCAAAGCCTTCAAAAGCCAAGAGGAAACAAAATACTACCCATTCCTTCTGAGAAATGCACTTCTTTCTGTACCTGAGTGTTTTCACAATCCCTGTGTTGGTGTGTAATGCCATGAAATGCTCTTGATGGTAACAGGAAAGAGAATCAGACACAGCTAAACATAAAGGTCAGTTGGTTGCAGGTGCTTAGCAGGTGTAAATAGAGGCCCATTCATGCTGCTACGCCTGCTCCTGAAAAGCATAATTTAAATACAGTATGCTAACTTAGGGGGCAAAAAACCACCTAACATCAAATTTTAAAAGAGTTGGCCACAGTTTAATGATATCCCCGCACACCAGCCTCCACCCACACTGCCCTTCATAAGGTCCTTAAAGGAGATCACATAGTTCTAAACCTGTCCACAAACACACATATCCTCCATTCTCTCCTTTTCTCCTCTTAGGCAGTTTGACAAAATCTTTAGGGGCAGTTGGAGAAAACACTAGTGTTTAATCTCCTACTTCATTTTTACCCCTGTTAAGGCCTCAGGAAGTTCATTGCTGACACCCTCCCCCCCATTTGAACTCTGACTAAAATGATCTCAAGGCTAAGGAACAGACCACAGGTATACTTCACAAGTAAGCTTACAACACCTGATTTAGGAAAGTTTGCTGTGCAGACTGCAGTAGCTCATCCCTTTTACAGACAGATTTCTATTTGTTTCCTAGGGTCTAAAATTATTTAAATCGAAATCTCTAAGAATTTTCAGGGCATTTAGTAAACTCATGCTGGGGGAGAACTGACAGAGACATGTTAAACGCACTTGACCACAAGAACCATTTATTTCATTCAATATTTACCAGCTATTCATTATACACCTACTATAGATTTTGGCACTGGAGATATTATAAGAAAACTCTATCCCTAACTTGGGGAACTTATCCAATACAATAGGGAACAAGATTCAAAACCATTCAAATGAAGCTTCAGTTGACTCAAATAAAAATAAGTTTTATAAATTTAATGTGAAAATCTTCGAGTATGTTAAGAATGCCTTCATTAACCCCGGAGACAGAAATTTTACTGATTAGAAGGAAATTTCAATAAAATACCAATCTTTGAATCTAATCTGACACCTAAAACTAAGAAATCAAACACTAGCCACATGTTTCTTCTATAGTTTATAATAATTTTTCTCATGAGAAAAAATATATTTTTCTTCCATGCCTGAAAATAAATGGAGAATTTTTAATATCTATTGCTATGGAGAACAATAAATAAGACTATCTGCTTTCAGAAATGAGTGCTGTCATTGAGCCACAGAACATGTCTGTCATGTCACTCTTTCGTACCATACGTTAACAGAAATAATAATTTCCCCTAATGAGTTTCCTATTTACTATCTCCTAAATTATACCTCCTTTAATTGCAGTCATGGAGTGTCTGAATTTTATAATCCAAGATACTAAGATGTTTATTTGACATACCACCACAATTAATGTCTTGTATTCTCAGCCAAAAAAAAAAAATAAAATTTTTGTTGGTCTCACAGGAAGATGAAATTTCATGGTTTGATGAACTCAGAAAGTCTTCAATATGTCTCGGTGATAGAATTGTGTTAAAAACATTTAAACTCTATAGTTCTATAAGACCCATTTTTAGGGGTATACACTGAGCATCCAGTTCCTCACCGTCCTCTCATGTGCTAACTCTGGGTAACACAAATTCTACTCTCATAATTCTATAAACAAAACAGCTCTTGATACAAGTTTGATTTTTAAAAATAAATTTTTATTTATCTTACTCTAAATGCAACACAGGGTCAACACAGAAAACAGAAAACTGAAAAGCACAAGGAAAGTGAAATATCTATAATCTTTTCAACCATTGTTAGTTTTGCTGTATTTCTAACTAGTTTCTTTTTCTTTCTTTCTTTCTTTTTTTCTTTCTTTTTTTTGTGAGACAGCATCTCACTCCGTTGCCAAGGTTGGAGTGCAGTAGCGCGATCTCGGCTCTGCAATCTCTGCCTCCTGGTTTTAAAAGATTTCTGCCTCAGGCTCTTGAGTAGCTGGGATCACAGGTGCCCACCACCATGCCCAGCTAATTTTTGTGTTTTCAGTAGAGACAGGGTTTCACCATGTTGGTCAGGCTGGTCTCAAACTCCTTATCTCCTGATCCACCTGCCTCGGCCTCACAAAGTGCTGGGATTACAGGTGTGAGTCACCCCACCTGGCCTAGTTTGTTTATATATATAGTGTTTGTATTAATAAAAGGAATGCCAGAAGGCACATGCCAATTTGGACTCCACTTTTTCCACTGACAATTATATCATAGTTTCTCATATTTGGTATTCTTTTGCAATACTTGCTGCATAGAATTCCATCACACAAAGGTAACTACCAGAAATTTCTTATTACTTTGCTAGACACTTAGGGTTTACATTTTTTCCAAAATTATAAATCTTTGATCAGAGCTCTGATGATTTCTCTGGGAACTGACAGCCTAACAGAAGTCATGTCCACTTTAAGACTTTTAACTTACTGAAAAGTTATGTTAAAACCAGAGTGCTGGTCCCCCTGCAACACATTCACTCACATTGGCTGACGTTTTAATTCTCTGCCAGTCTGAGAGGAAGAAATGTCAACTCTTTTTGTTTAATCTTTTAATGCCAGTCACATCTCTTTTTTCCCCTTTTCCCAGTCACACTGGTTTACTCACAACTCTACAGATCAATCCTGCTCATTCTTAATTTTCCAGCATTGTTCCTGAGACTGTTTCACAAAAATAGAAAGTTCTCCCCCTTATCCACTTGACCTAACAATTTCCACCCATCCCAATCCTCCTGCATTTATTGCTTCCAGGAATTTGGCACTTAGGACACCCTTGTCCTTACATTGTTCATGCATGTATATTTCGTCTTCAATAAAACATTTAGTCGCTCAAGGACAAGGGCCCCACAGAGTCCCAATATGCCAAGGGCCTGATGTCACTTAGTAATTTAGATTCCAACGGGGGACCTCTCCAGGGAGGAGAGCAAAGAGCAAATTACCTTAGGGGCTGGGAGTGCAGGAGCCAAACCTTTGAGACTGAAAACAAGAGGGCAAGAGACGATTCAGTAGCAGGCATTCAAGCAAGAAAAACTCAAATATTGTTCCTAATTATGTCTAATGGCAAATACCTTGTAAGGGCCCAGGCAGTCCGGACAGCCTGCAGTGCCCCAGGATGAAACCAACCCTGAGGGCTGCTGGCCCACAGTGATGCCCACCCTGGGCTCTGGACACGCCCTATCTCCTCGAAAGCCAACGGGCTGCCCCTGCTCACCGAGGCCCCGCCCAGTCGTCCGCCGATTGGCCCCACCGCCCCTATGCCGGGACTCAATTCCGTCCCGGGATTGCCCAGGCCACGCCCACCTGTCAAGCGGCCCTGGACACTTTTACGGTTTGGGGAATGTTGTGTCCAATAACCAGACTCAGAAGGGACTTCCCTGCTCGGCAGGCTCCAGGTTTCTCTGATCACCTCCGGATACATTACGGCGTTTCCCATGCCGTGCATGGCGCCTCCCGGCCGCCGCGAGCGTCCCTCTCCTTTCCGGCGCTTTCCTGGGTTGCCTCTGGCGGCCCTAGTGTTGCTGCTGTCCTCCTGCTCCGGTAGGATCCCGGGGCGGGTTCGCGCGTCAGCCGACAGGCTGGAACTCTGCTCAGTCAGTCGGGCAGGAGGCGCGGGACGGGGCTGACCGTAGGTCCTGCCTGCTTGGGGTAGAGGGAGAGGCCAGGGTTCTCGAGGCCAGGGTTGCAGTGCGCAGATCCCTGGGGTGTGTGGCGGGGGATGCGGGGACCACTTAGAGCCCGAGGTGAAGCTTTGTTTGCTGGGGTGATGTGCGCTGCCGGCCTGTGCGCACAGGTGCGCAGGGTCTGGCTGCACCCCCAACAAAAGCGTGCACCGGGTTTTCGGGATTGAGCATAGTCCGCAAGCAGAGCGCGGACTGGTCGCCCCTAGTAAGGGCTTGCTTTGGCGTGCACGGATGCGTAGGAGTGTTGCTAGGGCCCGTGCTGTGCAGGTGGTGAGAGTTTAACCTGTGTTCACTGGGCGGGGCGGTTGGTGCCTTGCTGAGCGGGATGCTCCTTAGCGCTTCGGCGGTATCGGCGAAAAGTGCTGCAGTGGGTCCGTCCGCTGTGCCCCAGGGGCTGGGCTGGCATGGGCTGTGCTGGGCGACCAGGGCTTGGCCTGGTGTTGAGAGCGTGTTGTGTGCAAGTGGCCTGCCCTGTAGAGGTCACAGGTGGGCAAGACAGCTGTTTGCTTTGAATGGAGTGACCGTGGACTCTGGATCTAGTGGGGGCATGTTGGGTGAGAGCAGGTTCTCAGTGCCTGGGGTTAGAGAGGGTGGTAAGGGCGTGCCATGCGATTTGCGCCTTCTGTGAACAGTCTCTGTGTTTCCTGAGATCGTATTGGTTTTGATTTTTAAGGGGCTGCTTTTTTTGGGGGGTGGGTGGATCATCGAGTCATCTTCCTGTTCCCAGCCAATATAGACACTATCTGATTCCATTACCTCATGGCTTTTTGACACCATTTTCCTTCTTTTCATTAGTTTGAGTAATGTTTGAGAGATGTGAAGCAACCCAAAAAACGCTGGTAACCAAACCTAGTGAGAAATTAGTATCCTAACAAAGGAAGGCAAATTATGTTAATCTGGTTTTCCCCTGCAACTCATAAACTAAAGCTGAAGGCCCATCCTGCTAAATTTGTTTTGTATTTCATTGAATGGAATCAATACTTTTAAAAATGCATACTAGGCTAAATCTTCCTCCATTGTGTGGTAGAATGATTATTTTCAATATGAAATTTGTTACAATATATTCTTCACACTGTTTTGTGTTGGACAGCAGTGGACTTTGAGCACCAAATTTTTCAAATAGCTACTATGAGAGACATATTGTGCTGGGCGTTGTGGTCACGTGGATGAAAGGAGTTGGCCATGTTAACTATTAAACACAAAAGCAGGTGAGAGTTACCTGGGAGGTCCACGCAGGGGAGATTCCAGGGGAAGGTGACTGATCACTGCGGGGAGGCAGAAAATTCTTTCCAGAGGAGCTGTTGGGTGGATTAAGGAAGACAAGAGTTGAGCAGGAGTAGTAGCTACTGGCCACGAAGGAAGAGTATTCAGAGCAGAGGAAGCAATGTGAGCAAACGACACCAGTGGCCTGCCAAGCTACTCAGTGTGGCAGAGTAGGGCAAAGGAGGCAAGAAAGAAGGGAGAGGACTAAATCACAGGGTGAGTGATTCTGAAAAGCAACAGGCTCTTCTGGAATAAACAGTCACCATCATCATAAATTCAGACTTAGGCATTAGTACCTGTCCTTTTAGGGCAGCTTGAACCTTTTGTTTGACTTAACACAACATGAACTCAAACTAGGGTTGTTTAAATTTCCCCAGGCACAGTAGCAGATGATTTCTTGAGGACATAATTGCAGACAGAGTTTATCGGTGTCAGCATGTGGGAGCTCCACGTGAGTGGCAATTATGGGAAGCAGTTTGGTAGTGGTTCAGCAGTGTGGCTCTGGGAGCCTGGTTGATTGGCCTGCCTCCTAGGTCTGTCACCTGACTGGAATGTATTCTTGGGTTCTGATTGTGATGGGCTGGAAAAGTCTCTAAGCTATGTTAGGAAGCCTTAGACATTATCCTGAGGTCATTGGAGAGCTATTGAAAGGTATCTATCTTGGAAAAGCCTTGATTACTCTGTCACATAAATATTGCTCTGGTATCAATGTGAAAAAATGAATTGAATGAAAGGTGACAAGATAGGTATGGAGACCTATTCAGTTATGTCATGGTAATCCAGATAAAAAATGACAGTGGCTTGAATGACAAGTAAAGGATAGAACTACGCAGACTGAACGAGCATTTCAGTTGTGAAAACATAACTTGTTTGTTGGGTGTGTGTGTGTAAAGAATTAGAAGTGGCACTTGGGCCTCACTGTGTTGTTTGAGATAGTGTGACACCCAAGTAGAGCTGTGTGGGGAGGCAATTGAATATGTAATTTTGGCAACCCAGCTAGAGATCTGGGATGGAGAGATACCCAGCTGGGAGGCAGTGGTAATGAAGTCACAGGAGTGTATACATTCACCCAGGGGGACCCACAGAATGGAATCACAGGAAGTCCTCAAATAGACTCACCAGGGATATTAACTTGATATGAGCCAGAGGACAAGCTGCAAACCAGAGTGATGTGCTCTCCTAAAAGCCAAGGAGAGAGAACTTTTCAGCAGAAGAGAGTGAGGACAGAGTGATCAATGGTTCTCATGTTATCAAGAGGGCAACTAAAACTATTGAAGAAGAGACTTTTAGGAGGCATTTAACAAGGAGGAGGCCATTTAATGACTCGGAAAGTAGTTAAAGTGATTTTTGTAGACCTAGAAATGAGTGAGAAGTGAGACATGAAATTGAAATATGTACATGTCAGAGTCTATGTTTTATGGAAGTAAAAAAGGTTTTAAATAGATTGGATAGTGGGAGAAGGAGCAAGATGGTCAGGTTTTATTGCAGTTTCAGTTGTAGTCAGATACCATGAATTTCTGGTAATGCCAATCTGGGCAGGGCTGTGGGTATGCATGTACATTAGAGTTAATTTTTTGCAAGCAGGTGTGAATGTACAGAAATTGAGCAGTTCAGTGGATCCAGTATAGATAATCAATTCACTTTACTGAAACTCACCTGGAACTTTGGAGAATTTTCTGACTGTACCTATCTTATGATATAATGCCATCTACTGTTAAAGTATAGCTTAATATTATTTAAAAAGTATGGCTTAATATTAATTATAAAATAGCTAGAAAAAATAAGTCAAGATACTGTTTTTTGGAGGTAGGCATGTTTAATTTGCAAATCTCCATAGGAAGAAAATCCAGTGTTCTGAGCAAGAGAATAATTTTTTTTTTTTTTTGAAATGAAGTCTCACTCTGTCACCCAGGCTGGAGTGCAGTGGCACCATCTTGGCTCATTGCAACCTCAGCCTCCTGGGTATAGGCAATAGGTTTTTAAGGAAAACATCTGACATATGTTTCCATGTTTTCAACGTATTGCCTATAGATGCACTGCAAGACATGATATATAAATAAAATGTTGGACAATGTATAGAGAATTTTAGAATTTAGAATATGACATGAAATGAAATATTTCACATGATTAGAATTTTCTTGACCAGTCTCTCTCAATCTGAGGTAGGACCAAGATCTAGGGAATATGAAAAAACGTGCTCCTCAGAGACCAAAATAGATCTATCTTCTTTGTTCCTTCCCCAATAGAAGAGGCTTCTGCATTCTTTTGGCCCTTTAGGCTTTTACTTGATGTCTCCATCATCTTATTTTACAAGCCCACAGATAATTTCAAGAAGATGAATTGCCATAGTGTTGCAGGACGAGCCTTAGACAGAACCCCTCGGACACTGTAGAGAGGAAGGAAGAGACTTTATTCAGCTAGTTATGGAGCATCCATTGACTTGTGTCCAAAAAAGCCAAGCTCCCCAAAAAACAGTTTCTTTCTCTTTTTAAAGACATGCAACCCAAGGGGGAGCAGAGGTAAACCTGTGTCATTACCCATTGGCTGGACATCTGACCTTACAGTCTATGGCTTTCATTGATTTGCTAATTTACATTTAGTGCCTGGGGGAAGGGGGAAAGGGGAAGAGCTACAAAAGTTAAACAAAGGCAGTAAATTACTTAGTGTCAGAGCCGTTCCTGATGGGAGGTCTGGTTTATGCAAACATGGGGTACAAGACTCAGGGAAGGTCCTTGGGCCACAGGAAAAATATTCTTTTGCAACATTTTTAAGGCTGATAGAAAACACAGGTACCAGTTACAGAGAACGGAGTTATTCTCTCAGCCCTTGGGCCCTGCCATGGCCAGGCCAGTGAGGTCAGCATCTCGCCTGACTACTGACTTCAGTTTTTTGCTATTTTACTTCTTTTACCAGCAAACAGCAGGCAGTAAATAAATGGCTCCCCCGCTACATTTCATCTCATTTCCCCACTTTGAAACTCTCACTATTTTACTTTTTTAGTGGGAGTGCTCACCTTCATTCTCACTGTCAGAGTCTTCTTGTGAGACTGGTCGGTAGTGATTCACCTAATAAACTTGTGCTGAGGTTTTCCCCTGGACCAAAGTGGTAGTAAAGCCTTTTACCAACTGAAGAAACAAGAGCAATAAACAAGGGAGCAATAAGCATGCTCCTATTACCAGCAGTATGCCTATAGCAATGGTTTTGAATCCTTCTATAGCCAGAAACCCCTGCCCAAACATAGACCCAGGGCCAAACCCATGCCAAATGTACAGGAGTACATGTGCTAGTTTTATCATGTCCCTTACAATGCTTTTAACTACCTGACCCTGGTCATCTATCTGTAGGCAGCAGTTGGTTAGGCTGAACTTTCCACACACCCCTCCTTCACCTGGCAGCAGATAATCTAAAGCCAGTCTATTGTGGTAGATGGCGTTTCTCATCTGGGTTTCCTGCCAGGCCAGGATGGTTAGAGCCTGGCTACTTTTGTTGGTTAGCTTTTCCATAACAGCTTGTAATCAAATGATTCGGTTAAGCATGTAAATTGGAGTACGATAACCCCACGAACTATCTTCTGCCCAGGCAGCAGGCCCATAGTACTGGATTATTCTTTCAGGGGGCTATTCATCATCTTTCCAATTGCCTATAACCAGGCTTCATTTATCTTGTGAGGTGTAGACAGGAAACCCCAAAATCTCTCCAGTCTTGATGGGTAGTAAAAAGAAGGAGGGCTCAATAGTACCAATAATACAACTACCTGTCCACTGTTCTGGCAGTTTGGTGTAGCTCTATGCCTACATATCCAGTATAAGCCAGGAGGTGCTACCCAGTCCCTATGAAGTTCTAGGTGAGTCCAATCAGCCTGCAAACTGGGCAACTTTTTTTTTTTTGAAATGGAGTTTCCCTCTTGTTACCCAGGCTGGAGTGCAATGGTGTGATCTCGGCTCACCACAACCTCCTCCTCCTGGGTTCAGGCAATTCTCCTGCCTCAGCCTCCTGAGTAGCTGGGATTACAGGCACGCACCACCATGCCCAGCTGATTTTTTGTATTTTTAGTAGGGACGGGGTTTCACCATGTTGACCAGGATGGTCTCGATCTCTTGACCTCGTGATCCACCCACCTCAGCCTCCCGAAGTGCTGGGATTACAGGCATGAGCCACTGCGCCCGGCTACTGGGAAACTTTTGAAAGGGGTTAACTTCAGTTCAGTTTAAACTCCACCAAGTAGTTGTTCCACTGGATCCACTGTATAGTTTTTGTCCTAAACAGTCTAGTTTTCCCACCAGGACTGTCATGCCTTTTCCTGTTCTGGCTAGGCGGTATTGCCCAATAATGGAAGTCTTTAAGACCCAGAAGTTGTTACTTTTAGTTTTTTGTCCAGAAGTTACATCAGCAGCTGGGTCTGCCGGCACAAGCTCGTGTGCCTCCCACAGCCACTGGTCTCCCGTAGTGGTCTGTCCACATACATAACAAGAGTGTCCTTTTAAAGTTTTGGCCACATTTTCAGCCAATTGGAAAAACAAGTTCTTTTCTCTCTTAGAAAGTTCTGGAAGTACATCATAAAAAGTCTGAAACATCAGTTGGGGAGATTGCCTCTGGATTTCTCCCTAGATTAAAATGATAACTTGAGGATCCAGCCCTTTCCCGTCAATTCCCATGGACACATATTCCCCTTTTCTCCAACAAGGGTCTAGGGGGTTGGTGATTATTAGTTCTAAAGGATTTTAATGGCCAGAGGTGCAGGAGGAGTTACTTTTTCCTTTTTGGAGGTGGACTGGGTTGTTTTTTTCTTTTTTCCAAGTGGCCCAAATAACACATGACCAGTAATCACAATGTCTGCATAATCCTAGCTCACAATAGATATACTTATGTTCTGCTGTATAGCTTCTTTCCCAACTAAGAGAGCCACATCCTAACCCCAGCTTGTTGCTATTAATGGCTGCACAGGCATTAAATTTTAAGGTAATCTGCTTAGGAATTCCCTTTTCCTCAGTCTTAGTAATTACTTTACTTGTATCATTTAGAAAGGGGCTGGTCCTTAACCTTATTTCGAATATGTGGACACCGAAGGCTCAGATGGGTTATAACAAACATCAAGTTGCCCATTCCCCGGGCTGCACACCCTGTATTGGGTAGCATTATATAAACAAGTTCCTTTTAGAATTTCAGTGCATTCATAATAAACATAAACAAGAGGACCTTTGTAATCTTTTGTCCCACCTTAGCGACCTTCTGTATACACTGGGAGCAATCTTTGGATTGGAGATTTACATTAATTAAGGTAGTAAGGACACAAGTCCACAGTTCAAAAGAAGGAAGTACCTGTCCCATGCTGGAAATCCTCATGCTCCGGCCATGCACAGACCAGTCAGCTCCCGGGGTGTGACTGGAGCAGAACTTGTTGTCTCAGCTCTCCTTAAGGTGATTTTGCACGTGTCATGGAGATCTGGCTTTACTTCCCAGGTTTCAGGTGCTGCAGGTTTCACACAGCTGTGATGGATCCATGCAGGAATTCCCTCAACCTTTCCGGAGGTTGGAGTGGTTGACAGTCTGGGGTCCTTCCACCTTGGCCATAGGGGAGCCACGTTCCAGTCCTCGATCCAAACTCAGTCACCTGGTGAGAAAGGGTGAACTGGGGAGAATAAGCTGACAGGACATTTTCATTAACCCATAATGACACTTTTTCTGCTACTTTCCCCAAGGCCCATAATTGCCAATGGAGTTCAGTCTCTCCGAGTTCCTGGGGGGTTCCTGGGAATCCTTGAAGGATGGGGAGAGGCCTATGGTAGAGGATTTCATAAGGGGAATACCCAGTTTTCTTAGGAGTGCAGCTAGTCTTAAACAAAAGCATAGGGAGGACCTGGACATTTAATCCTGTTTCCTGACACACTTTCCCTAAGCTATTTTTAATAGTCCGATTCATTTGCTCCCCTTTGCTTGAACTCTGAGACTGGTAGGCAGCATGTAACTTCCAGCTGATTGCCAGTATTTTTGCTGTGTTCTGTACCAGGTTAGCTACAAAGGTGGGCCCGTTATCTGAGCTGACTCGCAGGGGCAGTCCAAATCTAGGAATGATGTCTCTTAAAAGCACACGAGTTACTTCATGGGCTTTTTTAGTTTGTGTCAGGTAGGCTTCTACCTATCCAGAGTAGGTACATACCAGAACCAGCAGATACCAATTACCTCCATGCTTGGGCATCTTGGTGAAGTCTACCTGCGAGTCTTTAAAGGGAACACTTCCACAAGCCTGAATTCCTGTTGGGACCATTGGTCCTTGTCTGGCATTATGCTGCCTGCCCGTCACACACCACTGGATTACTGTTTTGGCTAGTGCAGACAAATGAGAGATGTAAAAATCTCAGCCTAACAGTTTTTCAAGGGACTCTTGACCAAGTTGGGAGGTTTCGTGGACAGCCAATACCACTGCAGGTCCCAGCAGATGTGGTACTGCAGCCCGTCCATCTGATAGGCATATCCATCTTCCCTCCATTTCTTTTCCACCTTCCTTTTGGAAGAAGCTTTTTTCTTCCTGAGAGTAGACTGGCACCAGGACAGGAGCCTGGGGCAGTAGGGGAGCTGTGACTGAGCCCAGTAGGGAATGGATGCTGCTTTTCGGGCCTCTGCATCTGTACGAGCATTTCCCTGTGCTACTGCAGTGGAATTTCGCTAGTGTCCCCGGCAGTGTACGACCACCACCTTCTGGGGCTTCCATGCTACTTCCAATAGCTGCAAAATTTCCTGTTGATATTTTATTTCTTTACCCCCAGAGTTAAACACACCCTTTTCCTTGTACAACGCTCCATACACTTAGAGAGTGAGGAATGCATACCAAGACTCAGTAAAGATGTTAACAAATTTTCCTTCACTCAGTTCTAGGGCACACATTAGGGCCATTAACTCTGTTCATTGTGCAGAGGTACCCTGAGGTAGTGGCTTGGCCTCTATAGTTGTGTCTAGAGTTACCAGCATATATCCAGTGCATCGTTCTCCTCGGGGGCTGACAGAGCTGCTCCCATCCATATACAGTCCCCAGTCTGCCTGTGTCCACAGTTGGTCCCGCAGGTCTGGCTGACTAGAGTAGATGGAGTCCAGCACCTCTATACAATCATGTGTCACCCAGTCCTCCGACACAGGGAGTAGGGTGGCCGGGTTTAGGGTATTACAAACTTCTATGGTTATGCGTGGGTTTTTGCACAACAAGCCCTGGTACGTGGTTAGCCTGCCATTTGTAAGCCAATGGTGGCCCTTTGTGTTCATCAAGGTGACCACAGCATGGGGGACTTTTATTTAAATTTTGTCCTAACGTTAGCTTGTCTGCATCCTGTGCCAGCAGAGCGGTAGCCACTACCACCCGTAGGCAGGGGCCACCCTTTAGAAACCTCGTCCAGTTGTTTGGACAAGGTACGCCACTGGTAGAGGCCATGGGCCTATGGCCTGGGTGAGGATCCCCACTGCCATCTTTTCTCATGCAGACACATACAGAGTGAAAGGCTTTGTTAAGTCTGGGAGCACAAGGGCCGAGGCGGACATCAGAGGGAGAAGGCCTGTTGTTGCTCTGGGTTCCACCTGAATGGCTCTGTGGCCTCATACAGAGGTTTGGCTAGAACTGCAAAGTTAGGACAGTTTGCAAAATCCCACGGCCCCCAAGAATTCTCAAACCTGTGTCCGGGTCTTCAGTATCAGCAAGCTGCTGATGACTTGTTTTCTCTCTGGTCCCAGGCTGTGCTGTCCTTGCTGGATAGTAAATCCCAGAAAACATACCTGTTGTTGGCAGATCTGGGCCCTTTTCTTGGAGACCATGTATCCACAACTCTCCAGGTTTCTGAACAATGAGTCAGTTCCCCGGATACACCCGACTGCTGCTGGGTGTCCCAGCAAAAGTTCATCCACGTACTGAAGCAGAACACAGCCTATGTCCTTGGCAGAAAACCTTTGAAGGTCCTGGTGCTTCCCCGAAAATGGTTGGGGAGTTCTTAAACCCCTGGGGAAGTCAAGTCCAAGTGTACTGCATGGTTACACCTGACTCTGGATCTTCCCACTAGAAGGCAAACAGTTTCTGGCTCTCAGGGGCTAGCCAGATACTGAAGAAAGCATCTTTTAAGTTCAAGCAAGTGAACCAGCTAGCCTCAGCTGGTAGCAGTCCTAGCAACCTATAGAGGTTAGGAACCACGGGGTGTAAAGTCACTGTCACCTTGTTGACCAGACGCAAATCTTGCACCAGCCAATAGTCCTTGGTACCTGGTTTGGGGATGGGCAGGAGAGGTGTATTCCAAGGAGACTGGCAAGAAACTATGATTCCAAATGCTTTCAAGCATCTGAGATGGACTTGGATTCCCTCGAGGGCCTCCCTTGGAACTGGGTGCCGTCTGTCTTGTCTAACTGGCTGTGCCTCTGGCTTCACTTTGATAACCACCGGAGTCTGGTTCACAGCTAGTCCCAGAGGGTTGTCTTCTGCCCAGACCTGTGGCCATTGCTTGGCCACGGCAGGTTCTATCCCCTGGCCAGGTTCAGTTAAGAAAAGCCTCCATTCTTCCCGTGGGACTACGAGAGCCATTACGATCACTGTTTGAGGCAATTTTAACTGTAAGGAACCCTGGTTTGTAAAAGTGATGGTGGCTCTTAGTTTGCTTAACAGGTCCCTTCCCAACAGAGGCAGTGGGCAGTCTGGCATGTTCAAGAACTGATGCATAATTTCATGGCCCCCTACAGAGTAGGTTTGTGGTAAGCAGAAGGCCTGTTTCTCTGAAACTCTAGTTGCTCCAATTATATCTATTGTCTTGCTGGACAAAGGGGCTCTTGGCTGAGTTACCACCAAATGCTCAGCTCCAGAATTGACAAGGAACTCAATGTCTCTGGCTCCTACTGTCATCCTGACCATGGGCTCCTTGGGGGCGGAAAAGCCTGGTCCCCATCAGTCCAGCAACCCTTCTGCCAGGTTGAACACAGCTTCTTCTTCCTTTCCTTTCCTAAGGCCCCTTGCTCCAGACATTCCTGCTTTTTCTTTTCTTTCTTTTTTTTTTTTTTTTTTTTTTTTTTTTTGAGACAGAGTTTCACTCTTGTTACCGAGGCTGGAGTGCAATGGCATGATCTTGGCTCACCACAACCTCTGCTTCCTGGGTTCAGGCAATTCTCCTGCCTCAGCCTCCTGAGTAGCTGCGACCACAGGCACATGCCACCATGCTCTACTAACTTTTTGTATTTTTAGTAGGAATGGGGTTTCACCATTTTGGCCAGACTGATCTCAAATTCCTGACCTCAGGTGATTCACCCACCTCAGCTTCCCAAAGTGCTGGAATTACAGGCATGAGCCACCACACCCGGTTCCCTTGGCTACTATTGAAGTATTATTCTTCTTTTATGATCACATCTATGAAGTATATTGGAGAGAAAGAGGAAGCAGAATGAGAACTTTGACATGGCACAGTGGTTTATACCTGTAATCTCAGCACTTTGGGAGGCTGAGCTGGGCAGATCACCTGAGGTCAGGAGTTTGAGACCATACTGGCCAACATGGGAAACCCAATCTCTACTAAAAATATGAAAATTAGCTGGACATGGTGGCAGGTGCCTGTAATCTTATCTACACAGGAGGCTGAGGAGGGGAGAACTGCTTGAACCTGTGAGGCAGAGGTTGCAGTGAGCCGACATCGTGTCACTGCACTTCAGCCTGGGTGACAGAGCCAGACTTCGTTGAAAAAAAAAAAAAATGGTATTTTCTCCATTGACTTCGATGCTGCTGTGGTCTTGATCTCCAGGTCAATGCAATGACCCTGACAAGTTTCCATTTGCCAAGCCTATCAACCTAACTGTTGAGACTCCGTTTCCCATTGGGACATATTTAAACTACAAATGCCTCCCTGGTTATTATGGAAGACCGTTTTCTATCATCTGCCAAAAAAAGTCAGGCTGGACAAGTGCTAACGACAAGTGCAGACGTAAGTAACTCTGGAGTGGGAACCCCTCTGTTAGTCACACATCTGTAAGATCTGATTCAGTTTGTTCAAATTTTGTAACTGAGTTACATATGACAACTAGTTTACCAAGGTGCAATACATATGAAAATTATTCTTGCAGATCATACCTTGTTAAATGGCTTTGAGTTCCTGGTGCCTTCATTACAGGTTTATTTCATGAGAAACAGTCATCGCAGGACATGACTGAGGGAAAATCCCATCCACTGGGGGTCTCCCATTTTCATGACTAAAATTAAGTAATGAATGACTTGGGACAAGAAAGAGAAGTGGATTAAATAACCAGAAGATGAGACAATCTTGGGCTTTGAGATCTTTGGATTATGCCAATTGAAGTTAATTACAGATAATAACAGTTTATTTTTCTGGGAGGCATAATATGGAGATGAAATAGATATGAACAGGAAGTTTTTTGAAAGAGAGCTGATCCTGAAGCAGTCTGGTGAGTTTCCTCAATGTGGCAAAATCTATTGAACCATCAGAACTGCATGTATTCTTCAGTAAGCTATAGGCAGGTTGAGGCCTTATATACTAAAACAAATATTTCAGTTTACTCTACTTGGCTCCAAAATTCTGTTTCTTCCTGTAGGTAGATCATGTCGTAATCCTTCAGAACCTGTGAATGGCATGGTGCATGTGATCAAAGACATTAAATTTGGATCCCAAATTAATTATTCTTGTAATAAAGGGTGAGTTGGCAGCAACATCTCTTGGTTCAAGAGTTCTAGGACAGCCATACTGCCTTCTAGTCACATCTCAGAAAGGACAACTAAGCTATTAACATCTTCTCTTCAAAGGGTTGAACACAAATGTTTAGCTCCTAACTGAAATGAACAAAGGCATGACAAGATTGGGGGAAATCATCCGTATCCTTGCTGGAAACCAAGGCAGTGCATATATGAAAAGGGTGGCATTCATTGGGTGGGAAGGAAGAACATGGGGGAAGATTACAGGCAAAGCACACAAACAACCCTAACCCAGGGCTGGAAGAAAGAGCAGGCCATTGAGCAGCTGTGTGAGAGAAATCTTAATGGTCATAGCACAAGTAGTTTGCTAGGACTGCTGTAACCGAGTACTCCAAACCCGGCAGCTTAATACAGATGAAGTTTTTGAAGTTCTGTTTTGGAGCCTGGAAGTCCAAAATCAAGGTGTTGGCAGAGCCATGCTCGCTACAAAACCTGTAGAGATGGATCCCTCTTTGCTTTGTCAGCTTCAGGAGCCCCAGGCCTTCCTTGGCGTGTGGCAGCAGAACTCCAATTCCTGTCTCTGTCCTCACATGGCCGTCTTCCCTCTGAGTCTGTGTCTGCACGTGCTGTTCGCCTGTCTGTGCGTGTCTGTGTCCCAAGTTCTCTCTTTCAGTAAGGACATCAGTCAGATTGGATTAGGGACCACACTAACAACCTCATCTGAACTTGACTGCCTCTGCAAAGACCATATTTCCAAATAAGGTCACACTAACAGGAACTAGGGATTAGGATGTCTATATATTTCAGGGGTGAGGGGAACACTGTCCCACTCTGGGCCCTGGGGAGAAGACTCCCAAAAGTCTAGACATAGTTATCCATATGCCATATGTGGTTTCTGGTGATGAAATGATCATGGCTTCTCCTGAACTATGGCTTAACTTTATGAACCCACAACTCTCTTTTCCCCAGGAGATTGAAAAAGATAGGGTAGGATGTAAAGGCTTCAATCTGTTCAAATGAATATGAAAGTCCCTGGCTCCCTTTAAAATAAGTATCATAGGTTTTATCTCTCTGCCTTACTTCCTCATAAACATCCTGAATGAGAAAAGTTCAAACCATTATTTGTTCAATTTTGTAATCTACTTTGGCAGACAAGTTCAATAAATTAAAATATTCTTTTATCTGTTCCCCTTGATCAGTGAACATAAAGTTATCTTTTGACTCATATTTAATATGTTCAGTACTGCAACACTGAACAATAGTATGGAGGAAAAGATGCCAACCTCAGTTTGAACCTGCTTCACCATTCCTATCCCCACCCCCATGATTAGAAAATCAAAAGAACATTTTGAGAAATAACCTCAGTGAGGTCAAAAGCCAGAGGAGGCTCCAGGATCCCTTGTTCCTAAGAAAAACAGGCAGAAGCGGGTACACGTATAGGATTGCAGCCCTTCTTCACTTCATTTTTTCATATCCTCCATCCTTGTATGTATTTCTGTTGGCAGTGCAACTGAGAATGCTTTCATTTTGGTGTTATACTAGGAAGTGTTAGAAAGCAAAATGAGGCCAGTGTGGTGGCTCATGCCTGTAATCCCAGCACTTTGGGAGGGGGAGACAGGCAGATCACCTGAGGTTAGGAGTTCAAGACCAACCTGATCAACACGGTGAAACCCTGTCTTTACTGAAAATACAAAAATTAACCGGGCGTGGTGACATGTGCCTGTAATCCCAGCAACTTGGGAGGCTGAGGCAGGAGAATTGCTTGAACCTGGGAGGTGGAAGTTGCAATAAGCTGATCTCGTGCCATTGCACTCCAGCCTGGGTGACGAGAGTGAAACTCCATCTCAAAAATAATAACAAAAAAGTAAAAATGATATTGAAGTCATTAATAATCACAACATAATCACTATTATAATGTTAACAGCGTGTCAAGTGTCTTCAAAAACACTCACTGTTCTCTCGCTATTCATGTGATCTCCATCTGGCACTGTTTTGTTGCTTGAATAAAGCTTTATGCGGCCAGGTTTTCCTACATATTCATAAAGCAAAGTTCTCAGCTCTACCTATAACCATGACTGTTATTTGACATTGCTTCCTTCCTTCATGTGTAGTACTACCAAGTTTGATCCAACCCTCACTGTGGCCAGTTATACCCAACCATCCATCACAACAGAGAATCTCAGGTGAAGTAAAGCAAATGTCATGAATTCTTCCAAATGCATGGCACACTTTGAACAGTTTGACACATACTAATTGAGAATTGCTGACTTTAACATTTCAAATACAAAATAAGTGTTCAATTCTTTTTGGTCAGCTTAGATTTCCTTTGGTTCTAGTTATGAATCATTTTCTTCTTTCTCTTTCTTTCCTTCTTTCCTTTCTATCTTTGTCTCTTTCTTTCTTTCTTTTTCTTTTCTTTCTGCCTGTCTCTCTTTTTCTTTCTTTCTTTCTTTCTTTTTTTTTTTTTTTTTTGACACAAGGTCTTGCTTTGTTGTCCAGGCTGGAGTGCAGTGGCATGATCAATGATCACTGTAGCCTCAGCCTCCCAGCTCAAGTGATCTTCCTGCCTCGGCCTCCTGAGTAGCTAGGACTACAGGAATGTGCCATCATGCCTTGCTTTTTAAATATATTTTTTGTAGAGATAGGGTCTCACTATGTTACCCAGGCTGGCCTTGAACTCCTGAGCTCAAGCAATCCTCCTGCCTCAGCCTCCCAAAGTGCTGGGATTATAGGCATGAGGCACTGTGAAATGCCTACTTTGATGAAACTTACTGATAAAAGCCCATCTATGCATCCATACATTAATACTTGCAAAGCATAGAAAGACATGCAACAGGACTACATGCACACATACATCAGTATATATATGACAGCTTCCCTGCTCTCAAGAAGCTTGTGTAATCTTTTTTTAAAAAATGAAACTTATAGGAAAAACTGTAATTCATCTTTGATTTATATAAAAATGTGTCATAATAAAGAAAAGACAGCTTATCCAACTGAGAAGACATGGAAAAGAAAATCAAAAAGTCCCAAGAAGAATGTGAAATTTGGGTAGGTAAAAGACAGTTCTTTGACAAGAGGAAAATGTTCCTCTGAATTCTACAAGAGTGCAATCTCTGGAAGTAGTGATTTCAGGGGGAAGTTGATCTGACCTCTTTAGAACCTAACATTCCTCATTCTTTTCCTCTAGATACCGACTCATTGGTTCCTCATCTGCCACATGCATCATCTCAGGCAATACTGTCATTTGGGATAATAAAGCACCTATTTGTGACAGTGAGTTGAAATATCCCTTCCTATTTCTTTTACCAATCCATTCTAATTTTTCTCTGGAATAATAAAAATCTTAACCGAATTCCTTCTGTGCAATTTGTCCTTCATATAGCTGAAGACAGCTGTAATGTTCTCGAATATTCCCGTGGGGTTCCTGGTAACTCTTCCCTTAAGTTCTTCCTTATCCTGGGATGTGTCTTTTCTAATTCTGGGGGCTTAAGTACATAAAAGCCTTCATACTTAATTTTACTTCAATAAATTTGAAATTATGTTGGTTCTGCCACCTCCAGTATAATAATCATCCTGCTTGGAAAATCAGTAAAGATTTTTAAAACTGATGCTCTTCAAGGTTAGTGAAGCTTCAGAAGAACCTGGACTCCCATGTACCACGAGATCAACACGTCCTCTTGAAAGGCACCATACACTGCAAACCTCAGAAGTGGGCGTGTATTTTAACCTGCTTCTTAGAATTGATACTTAGGAAATAAACACAAACTTCTTAAAGCAGTTTGGTGTAAACTTTTCATTATTTATATTAGTTAAATAGCATTATTTATATTAGTTAAAATGTTAGAGTAACCTAAATATTTTAAACTATGGTTTGGAAATGATCTACTAGAAAGAAAGGTGTGTTCAAAGTGATCACTATAAAGAATTCCCTAAGAAACATGAAATAGCTTTGCAGAATAAAAAAAGTATATCCATACACTGGCATCTTATTCAGCCATAAAAATGCATAAAGAAGTACTTAATGGCTAGAAAGAAATGTGTTTTATGCGGAAAAAGAATCAGATGAGTGGCATGTATAGCAAGATCTCATTTTATTAAAAAATAGTACACCTGGCCCTGGAGGGCCAGGCTGAGGCTGAGAGAAATACAGTGTATAACATCTTACTGTTCTCTTTGGATAACTTGGAGACTTCTTTTCTTTTCTTCTTATTTAAAAATGTTGTTACTTTTACTATAAAGTTTATGACCTTCAGAATCTAAGTTTATGAATGACACTGGTCACATATTTATTGCTGTTTATCCAGTTTAAGAAATAGTTTTGCTATTTTGTAAAACAAATTGGGAAACTTTCATCTTATTTGAAATGTGTAATAAGTATGAATTTTCTTGGAAATATGAGAAAATATTATTAGTAAAATAGAGAAAACAAACAAAATAATACACCTAAACCTATACTCATACCTATACCTATACCTATATTCTCTGTTTCTAGTTCTGTAAACTCTCTATATCCAAACGCTAGTAAATGGCTTGAAGTCTTCTTGGCGAAGGCTAGGGGAAGATTTACAACACATGCTTTCGACTGTGTAGCATGGTGCTTCCTCAAAAGGATCCAGTCTCCCATCCATTCATGCTGCTCTGAGTCTATAAACTATTCAAGTCTAGGAATTGTTGATGTACAATGAACTTCTTTTGCAATGAATGATTCAAGTCAGAATTCTATTCACTTGACCTAAATCTCTTCTACTCATACAAATCAAATAACACTTTAGTCGGCTATTCATCTACTTCGGTTTTAGAGACTCCATGATCAATTAGCCAGTAACAAAGTTCTCTTCAGTCAAATCATTCTGATTGCTGTTTCAACTCTAATACCCATTACGAGAATCCCCATTGTCTGTGACAATTAAGTGCTGCCACCTGGACTCTGCCACCCTGAGGTCCTTCAATCCCCAAGAGAATTCAGAGAACCCAGTTCAATGGCAACATTTCCCACTATCATTCCCAGTCTTCAGAGAATGAGCTGTCACAGAGGATGCTGAAACTTCCCATGTGAATACATTTCTCAAGCCTCAGGTAAAAGGTCTATCCTCTGAACCCTCCACTCCTGCACTGTGCCTCACCAACTCTATCCAAGGATGACTTTCAAAGTGGAACGGCTGTTGTTTAACTTCTACCTGTCAAATATCAGGCTAATTTCTCATGCTGTAACCCTAGTCCAGCACCATACAGAGAAAACTTAATTCCAGACTAGTTTGGAAAACTTAATTCCAGATTAGCCTGGTTGACACTTTACCAAACCACCAGATAATTATAATTGTATTTAACTCTTGGTCTTCTCTTTGTTTCCTTCCCTCCTTCCTTTCTGCCTCCCTCCCTCCCTCCCTCCCTCCCTTCCTTCCTTTTCCTTTCTTCTTTACCACACTGGCTAGGACCACCAGTATAACATTGAACTTTGGTAGCAAGAGATGCCATCCTTGACTTGTTCCACATCTCAAAGAGAAAGATGAAAACATTTCACCGTTAATCTGGTGTTTACTGTAGGCTTTTTGTAGATAACCATTTTTAAATTAAGGACATTCTCATATATTCTTCATTATTAAAAATTTTTGGTCTTTGAATCATGTTAAAGGTTATCAAACACTTTAGTTACATATATCAGTGTAACCACATCTGTTTCTCTTTTTTCTGTTAATGTAACAAATTGTTTTGAGTACATTTTTGAAAGGCAAATGATTTTGAATTTTAAGTTTACATTCTTAAAATAAATCAACTTGGTCGTAATATTTAATCACTTTTTTTTGAGATGGAGTTTCACTTTTATATATGGCAAATATGCTTTTATAATACATTTTGGATGTTTCTATTAAAGTACAATTCATGCATCATAAAAGTTGCTTTTTTTAAATTACACAATTCGGTGGTGTTTAGTATATTCACAAATTTATGTGTTGTGGTCTGAATCTTTGCGTCTACCCCAAACCCATATGCTGAAATCCTTACCCATAAGGTTATAACATGAGGAGGCGAGGCCTTTGGAAGGTGATTAGGTCATGAGAGCAGGGCCCTCACAAATGGGATTAGCGTCCTAATAAAAAAGGCCCAGAAGAGCTCCTTTGCTCCTCCTGCCAGGGAGGAAATGCTGACTCTGCCAGAACATTGGTTGTGAACTCCCCAGCCTCCACAACTATGAGAAATAAATTTATGTTGTGTACAATACTATAAAACCAGTTTATAGTGTTTTGTTATAGCAGCCCAAATAGACTAAAACATTAGGCAACCAGGACCGCTAATTAATTACAGAACACTTTCATCATCCCATTCCTATTTTAGAGATTAGACTGTAATTTTCTTTCTTGTAATGTCCTTATGAGATTTTAAGGACGTTATGAAATACTACCAGCTGGCTTTATAAGACTGTCATAAAGTATCAAACTTATGACAGTCTTATAAAGCCAGCTGGTAGTGTTTCATGTATTTGTTTCCTTGGAAGGGTTTATGTAAGATTGGTATTATTTCTTCTTTAAATGCTTGAAACACCCTATGGCCTGGAGTTTACTTTGTTGGGAGGTCTTTTTTTTCTCCAACTATTTTTCTATACCATGTAGATTTTTTGCATAAGTATAACATATATATAGTAAAGTGCACCAATCTGAATTAGGCAGTTCAGTGAATTTTTACAAAGTAAATGCATCCATGTACATGGCACTCAGATTAAGATATAGAACATCGCCGGGCGCGGTGGCTCAAGCCTGTAATCCCAGCACTTTGGGAGGCCGAGGTGGGTGGATCACGAGGTCGAGAGATCGAGACCATCCTGGTCAACATGGATAAACCCTGTCTCTACTAAAAATACGAAAAAAATTAGCTGGCATGGTGGTGCGTGCCTGTAATCCCAGCTACTCAGAATGCTGAGGCAGGAGAATTGCCTGAACCCAGGAGGTGGAGGTTGTGGTGAACCGAGATCACGCCATTGCACTCCAGCCTGGGTAACAAGAGCGAAACTTCGTCTCAAAAAAAAAAAAAAAAAAAAAAAAAAAAAAAAAAAAAGATACAGAACATCAACAACCCAGAAGCCTTCCCGATACTCTTTCCCACTTATCTTCCCAAAGTAACCATTATTCTGATTTATAACACTAATAGTTTTGCTGCTTCCTAAATTTTATATTAAAGGAATAAAAAAATAGGTACTCTTTTGTGTCCAGCTTCTGCTCAGTGTTACATTTGGAAGAGTCACTTTTGTTGCTGCACGGATTGTTAGGTCTTTTTTATTATTATATTGGATTTCACTGATTATCTTGAGTACCTTTTCATATGTTTGTGAAGTGCCTATTCCAAACTTTTGCTTATTATTTACTAGTTTGTCTATTGCTTTACTGTTTTGTAGGAATTCTTTAAATATTCTCATATTTTCTAATAAATATAACACAAATATTTTCTTTCAGACTATGGTTTTTCTTTTCCCTTCTTAATGATGTCTTTTGTTGAGGAAGTTCTGCATTTTAATAATAATCAATTTATGGATTTTTTTTTCAGTTACTGCTTTTTTTATTCTACTTAAGCAATTGAGCCAGGAGAGGTGGCTCACATCTATAATTCCAGCACTTTGGGAGGCCAAGGCATGAGGACTGCTTGAAGCCAAGAGTTCGAGACCAGCCTGGGCAACAAAGCGAGACCCTGTCTCTACAAAAATAAAATAAAATTAGCTGGGCTCAGTGTGGCACATGCCTGTAGTCCCAGCTACTTGGGAGGATGAGGTCGGAGGATCCCTTGAGCGCAGGGGTTCAAGGCTGCAGTGAGTTATGATGGTGCCACTGCACTGCAGCCCAGGTGACAGAGGGGACTACTTCTTATGGATAGGCAATTGATCTAATAACTTTTATTAAAAAGACTATTCCTTGCATACTGCAATGCAATAGCACCATGCCCATAAGTCTGGTGACCTTATATGTGGATCTCATTCCAGAGAAGTTCTATTCCATTGGTTTATTTGCCATACATTAGTTGTTGTTGTTTTTTTCCATATTATAATGGCAAATAAACTATAGCATTACATTAAGATGTTAATTACTATAGCATTACATTAAGATTTTATATCTTTTGGCATATCTATATATACATATATAGATATATTTATTTATTTATTTATTTATTTTTATGGAGGCTTGCTCTGTCACGCAGGCTGGAATGCAGTGGTGCTATCTTGGCTCTCTGCAACCTCTGCCTCCTGGATGCAAGCAATTCTCCTGCCTCAGCCTCCAAAGTAGCTGGGA